AGCAACCCTGTAAGGTTCAGTACAGGTTCAGGACATGGTGGGGAATTGTGAAGGATCGGGGCATGGGCACCATTTGTTGTTTTAAACTATTTCTATGCCACTTTAATATTTTCAAATATCTCTAAGCAGGGTACAACAATTAATATATATATATTACCAAAAACACCTCACTAAAACTATTTATTATAATTTATTAAATATGTATACCGTCCTATAGTCACAGGGAGGTTTACATGTTAAAATCATGATATAAAAACACAGAATGCATAATCAAAAACAAGAACAATCCAGTAATCCCCCCACCCACATTTTAAATGGGTATTGAATGCCCAATAAACCATCAATACAAGTTAATAAAAAATGGCAGAGATGCAATAAGGCATTTTTTTTATTACTCTGCTCTCTCTCCCCTGCCCCCAAACTAAAACAAAGCATTCTAACAAACAAAAAGACAAGGCCCAGCTTTAAAAATTAGGAAAAGCCTGAGAAAAAAGGTATGTCCTCAAAATACATTTGAAGCTGGTAACCAGTGGCAGAGGTCAGAGTGTTGCAGAGAACAGGGCCAAGGAAAGAAATTGGCCTTTTATGACACAATTTTCTATAATATGCAGTGCCACTAATAGGAGCTTCGCAGATGATCTGAGCGATTTCCCACAGCAGATAGGAGCCCGTAGCCTTTCAGGTAATTAGGCCCCTAAGTTGTTCAGGCCATTGAATGTTACTAACAAGATCTGGAGCATTGCTTGGTGGCTAATAAGCAGCCAATGTAGTTCTCTCTGCACAGGTGTTCATATGTGCACCTCTAGGTGTCTCATTTAACACCTCATTCACAGCATTTAGCACCAAACTACAGCTCCAAACTACCCTTAAGGGAAGCCGCACATAAAGTGCATTACAGTACAGTGGTATCTTGGTTCTCAAATGCCTTGGTACTCAAACAACTTGGAACCCAAACACTGCAAAGCCGGAAGTGAGTGTTCTGGTTTGTGAACTTTTTTCGGAAGCCGAACGTGCTCCTCTTTGAGTGTTATGCTTCCAGTTTGAGTGCCACACTTCTGTCTTCATGTTACACTGAGGTCTGTTTTTGCTATTTGTTTTGCATTTTCATTTTTGCAGCTCATTTTGGTTTTGGTTTTGTGACTGTGTGGAACCCAGTTCAACTACTGATTGATTGTGTGACTGTAGTACTTTTTTTTTTTGCTTTCATTTTATGGATCAATGATCTTGTTAGATCAGGGGTCACCAACCTACGGCCCGGAGGCCGGATAAGGCCCAAGGGTCTCGTTTATCTGGGCCGTGGCGACCACCACCACCCGCTCTTACTCTTGCGGCGTGGCATGGTGACCCACTTCTGGGTCGGAGGAACACCGGAAATAGCTTGTGTGCATGTGCACGGGCCTCCTCCGCCCCGGATGTGCAATGCGTGCACAAACGCTATTTCCTGTGCACATCCTGGTCGGAGGAGGTGCATGCGCATAAGCTGTTTCCGGTGCTCCTCCGACCCCAAATTGCGCTGGAAATAGCATGTGTGCGCGCGCTTCACCGCCCTCTGCGCGATCGTCATTCGAGACACCAGCCCAAGACAAGGAAAGCTTGGAGACCCCTGCGTTACATAGTAAAATTCATGTTAAATTGCTGCTTTAGGGGTTGTTTTTAAAAGTATGTAACAGATTAATCCATTTTGCATTACTTTCTATGGGAAAGCGTGCCTCAGTTTTGGAATGCTTTGGTTTTGGAACAGACTTCCGGAACGGATTAAGTTTGAGAACCAAGGTACCACTGTAATCCAGTCATGAGATTACCAATGCATTAATCACAGTGTTCAGGTTATCCTAGGACCTCATTCACACGCAACAGGCTCGTTCCGCTCCGCTATAGAAACATAAAACTCTGATGTTGCTTCAGCAAGAACCAAATTGAGACCGTCTTCTATAGTGGAAACAGCTGCTTTCCAGTTATTTTTAGCCCTACCTGTACTGGGAAGTGCTTCTTTCTTTAAAGGGGCCCAACCTGCTCTTTTAGTTTCCTGTTTCAACAGAGCTGGGGAGCTTCTGAGTCAAATGATGGCAGCAACAGGGGTCCTGGCCCTACAGGCACACCTGGTGGAAGGACTTTTGGGGGCTGCCTCCTCATATTCTCCCTTTTCAGGTTCAGTGTCCTAAACCTTTGTTCATCCCCCCCCCCCCCGGGAAGAAGAGGAATCTAACTGCAGGGTCATGGCCAGCATAGCCTGCCCAAGTTGCTAAGCACTTATTGACATCACATCCAACAGGGTGAAAAGGTTTGGAGAAATTGAGAGGCGTTAGGCGGGACGCGGGTGGCGCTGTGGGTTAAACCACAGAGCCTAGGACTTGCCGATCAGAAGGTTGGCGGTTCGAATCCCCACGACAGGGTGAGCTCCTATCGCTCGGTCCCTGCTTCTGCCAACCTAGCAGTTCAAAAGCACGTCAAAGTGCAAGTAGATAAATAGGTACCGCTCCAGTGGGAAGGTAAACGGCGTTTCTGTTGCACTGCTCTGGTTCGCCAGAAGCGGCTTAGTCATGCTGGCCACATGACCCGGAAGCTGTGTGCCAACTCCCTCGGCCAATAAAGCGAGATGAGCACCGCAAACCCAGAGTCCGTCACGACTGGACCTAATGATCAGGGGTACCTCTCCCAAGGCAACGATCCCTTGCGATGTCATCTAGCGGGCTCAGGGGACAGCCCATGATATCATGTGCTGTGTTCACCACCCTCCGTAAAGACTTTCTGTCCGTGGCTGTCAAGCCAATGTACCACACTGTGATGCAATATGAGAGGACACTTTCTATTGTGGACCGGTAGGTCATCAATTGTTGTTTAACATTGTTCTTTCGCAAGACCCTGAGAAAATGGAGTCTCTGTTGGGCCTTTCTGACCACCTGAGTTATATTGTTTTTCCAAGTAACTCACACTCAGTAAGACTTGCTGAAATCAAGACTTCGGTCTACAAATTTACTCAGAGCATGACTAATGCTCCAAACATTACCATCTTTTTGCTATAACATAGCTCTTTTTGTGACTGTAGTCGCTGGTATGGAGAACCAGCACCTAATTTGCACCAAAAAAAGCACTAAATGGCTCCTTGTATGCACATTCTGGTTGTCTTGGGGAGCAGCAACCACCACTCTTCCCATTTAACTCTGGAAGCAGAGCAGGATTGCAGGGAATTGACTTGTCTTGATAGCAGTTGGAATCCTCCTAGGAGGGACCTTGATCTGTCATCTATGCACTGGTAACGTCTAGGTTAGAATACTGCAATGTTAAAATATCCATCTGCCTTTGAAGATGGTTCAGAAACTTCAGCTAGTGTAGTTTTCAGCAGCCACGTTGCTGACCAGGGCAAGATGGCTTGGGCATATTACACCAATCCTGGCCCAAATGCATTGGCTGCCAATTAAGTTTCCAGGCCCAATTCGAAGTGTGTGATGGCCTGGGATTCGGACTCGGATGCTGAACCTGAGGGATCCCAGCCTGCACATGATTCCCCGCCTCCAGAACCAGCTGAGCCGGGACTGGGGCATGAGCCTGAAGGGTCCTCACCTGTGCTGAATCCTCAGGTGCAGGCATCAGCTGAGTCTGCTCTGGCTCCTGAGGTGATGGAGGACCCATTGCCTGCAGGTGCTCCACTCTCAGCCCCATCAGAGGAAGCTGAGGTTGCCACTGGGTCCGGTAACCCTTCAGCCTCTCCTGAGCTGCAGAGGCTCAGGGCAGAGAGGCAGAGGGAACTAAGTTCCCGCAGGAGGAGTGCTCGCCTCCAGGCCAGGAGAGGCGAGTCACCAGAGGATCGGGGCCGCCCAATGCCTTGGGGCAGATAAAAGCCGGCCAGCCCCCGTCGCAAGTTGCGGGAGCAGCATTGTTGGTTGCTAGTTCCTGCCTGAACCCTGTCCTGCTTTCCTGCCTGAGCTCCTGACCAGCCCTGGCTCCCTGCTTGCATGCCTGTTCCTGACTTCACCTGACTCCCTCCCCTGCACCCAGCTTCAGCTTCTACGGACTGCCTCTTTGCAGTCTTTGACCAGGGACTGGACTTGGACCTCACCTCTCGGGTAACCCACGGGACCAGCACAGTGTGCTAGTTTTGACCTCTGAAGCCTTAAATGGCTCAGGACTGCAATGCCTCAAGGACCACCTTTATATGAACCACCCTGGACTCTGTGATCATCATCTGAGGCTCTTCTTTGTGCGTGTCCTCCACGAGAGGTCTGTAGGGCGGTAGCATGAGAATGGGCCTTTTCTGTAGTGGCTCCCCCTTTGTGGAATGCTCTCCCCAGAGGAGGCTCACCTGGTGCGCTTGCTACATATATTTAGGTGCCAGAGAGTCCTCTATAACCGGGCCTTTGACTTATTAAACTATCTATAGTCTTTTAAATTGTTTTCTTTTGCTGGGTTGGGGGGCGGGAATTGGTTCGTATCACTAACCAGCCTGGAAAGGTTGTCAAGGTGGACTTCTGCCAGGAACTGCTGGAATCTGTCACTGCCCCTTGTGGTGAGACCCTGAACTGCTGGTGTCAGCCTTCTAAGACTGAAGTACAGGCGAACCACACGTTTAAGTGAACATGCATATATTTGAAACACCATTGAAAAAGTCTGCAAACACCCTGTTCCGTGGCCCCCCTCCTTTTGTGACATTTTTGGGTCACAAAAATGTGCTTCTACTATGTTTGCCCTAATGTATACAATGCCCAGTGTTTATGCAGATTCTCCATTACTCACACTTCCTACAACATTCATTATTTGCTTCTCGTATTAATTTATTTTGTCCTCCACTGTGTCCACGCCTGCCATCTTAGGCATATGACGCAGACTGATTTCAAGTAGTATGCTGTGCAAAAAGTTTTGGTTGGAAACGGAAGTCGACTTAGCACTTTAGAACCTCAATCTAGTTTTGGTATTTTATACCAAGCATTAAAAGCACTTGAATTTGATTTAAGTGTTATTTTGCTTTGATAGGTACTAAAATGAAGAATTTCCAACTAAAAATTCTGAATGGATAATAAAGGCACAATACAACTTTATTTTGATATTCAAATTTTATATAAAAAGATTAACACTAATCATCTACCCTCATTTTCTTTAACAACGGCACATGAATGTTGCATTTTAAAAAAAGTAGTGAGACAGTCTCAGGACTGTAGGCAACATGGAAGCCACCCGTCCCAGGAAAACCAAGACAAAGTTGGCATTTGATATACAGAAGAGAAATTCTGGAGAAATGTTAAGCAAAAGTAACATTGATACTGCCAAATGTTAATTTTTTTGTTTTTGGTCATATTATACACTGCTTGAGAAGAGCCACAAAAACTCGGGTTAAAGGGGAAAAAGACAATGCTGGGCAGGCCATTTCGGGAGACGTGTTGAAAACCTACGTTTAAAGAATCAATTTGCAGAGCCACTCTCCTGCAGAGGAAGGTCCCATGGCCATTATGGGAGTCCCTGCCAGGTCTTGCAGGGTCCGTAACGGGATTCTTCTGCTACTCTAAATTCTACTTGAATTTTAAGGTGATCAGAGCGTTTAATCCAATAAAAGAATAAAGCCAAGGAAAGGAAAATAAATGTAAACCAAGTTTATTTTGCTTTTTAAGTAGTGTTCTTAAAGCACTACAGCATGGTAAACAATGTAATTAGTAGAAGTCATCTCAAAAGCCAGAATTCTTCTTTAATGAGCTTGTTAAAAAGATGCAGCCTAGTCTAACAGGATAAATATTTTAACCATTTCACTTCGAGTTAATGAAGGCTCACAAATGAGCAACACTCCTCATTGAGGAAAACAAAAAGCTGTTGTCGACAAAGCGACAGCACACACACAAAAACAAAAGAACTGTGTAAAAATAACTAACTGTACTGTGTTCCCATACTCTTTTTTCTCCAAGTTGCTTTACAATGGGATGATATGCACATGATCTTGCTGCAAACTTGCCATACAACTTGCAAATACCAGTAAGCCTAGCCTTGCCACTCAGCCCAAAAGCTGCTCATGTCTGATGCAGCACTCACCATCCTATACCTAACAATTAATCTGATGGACTATACTCATTTACCCTTTTCTTCTAGACTGCAGGACAGGCTAGTAAGAAAGTGTTCCCTAATTGGAAAAAAAAAATCTGTGTTCTAACTGGAAAATGTATAATTTTGCAATAGACTTTACAAGTTATATGTTTTGCCTCTTTTACCCTTAGCCACAAAATGGGCATGAAGTGTTTTTTTTTATTTTTAAAATGCCTTAATTTCCAACTTCATGCAAATCTAAATAAAGATGACCAAAACAAAAAAGCTTAAACAATGGAAGGATATTTCACAGAAAATTTCTTATACAAAAACACATAAGAAAAAAGGGCCACTAGGTGACATCTTAAATTTACAAATTGGCATCATTTTGGTCAACAAATATCCAAGTCCTGTTTTCTTTTACAACAAAGCAGCTGTACAGAAAGAAAACAGTGCAACTGGTTATTTTTTAATCACACATTTCCTCAGGAATTTCATGTGGATTAAGGATGCCAGGGACAGACATCTGAAGTTTGTGTTTCTCCTCCTGAGCCTGTCGAAGAGCTGTCTCTCTTTCTTCCAGGAATAAGTCAGACGTGTCTTCACCTGCAAATTCCTGTGGGAATAAAGCAGATGAGAAAATCCATTATAATCCAAACAACCGGCAGAGATCATCAAAAGCTAGAAAGGCAGTTACGATGTAAAGTTCCAGAACTTGGATGGATGAGATAATTTTATGCAATGAAATAAAAACCACACTCAAGAGTACCCTTATTGGCATCTGCATGTTTGAAACAGAACAGTGACTTCACATGTTAGAAAGCAAATGCCACAATTAGTGCATATCCCCTTTTCATAACCTGATAGTTCTGCCCTTATATTTTTGGTCCTCCAACTCAATCATCCTCAAGTCTCCTGTTCCCTTAAGTATGGGCATTAGTCTCCCTAATGGTTGGAATTAGAAACTAAAGTTACCCTAGGACTTTAGAAGTTGGCTACCTTTAACAATATGACAAAATTCACAGCATCAATATTAGCAAGTAAGAGAGCTTTTGTTTTGTAAAATCATCTAGCAACTGACTTGGCATACCAATCAATGGAGCATGACAGAAACTAGCAATACATAGGTCTCAACAAAAAAAAAGCCTCATGGTTTAGTCTACTTGAAGTCCCATATGTATTCAGAATAAGAGAGGGAATTCCAGACATACCTTTATCTGTACCAGGAAGTCCCTAAGGTGTTCCTTGAAAGCAGGAATATCCTGATTTAAACTGAAGAGTCCTGTTACAAACAGTTTAACCTGTGCACTGAAGTAATAAAAAAAAGAGACACACAGAGAAGAGCAATTAAGACCACTAGTATTTGCACTCAAGTTCTATTTAACCTTTTAATTCTAAACACACTTACTCTTGAAGATGAGGAAATGCAGATTTAAGGAGATTAGCAACGTACTCCTGAATAAACATTTGGTTGCTCACTGGATTTCCAGGGTTTAGAGGAGTACTTATTTTTCCTTCTTCTACTAAGTTGAACATGTATGCAAGAATTGATGCATGCATTGTCAAACCTGGTGAAAGCACACAAAGGAGAGTAATATTTAGATTAGAATGTATACAGCAACTGAACTCACCGTAGCTCAAGCCGTACAGGTCTTCCATCCCACTCCACAATTACTTACCAGCAGTGTGAGACGTGTCTGTTACAACAGAGAAAATGTGCTGAAGAATGTCACAGAAATAAGTCTGGTAAAAACTCTGGGCAGCAGCTTCTTCTTGTGCAACATTTTGTAAAAGTGTATAAAGGATCTGAAGGCCTAGAAGAAAGTACATGAAGCTATTCAAAATTTTAGTGCCTGTAGAAGTTATGCATTCTAGAAACCAAGTGAAGTACATCAAGTATATGAGCTACACAGAAGCAAGTAAGTTATTAGTCTGGGAATTCCACTTTTTAAATTAAATAACCACTCATGACTACCACGTTTAAAATGAATGGACACACTTGGAGTGTCCACTCCACCAAACCTGTTCTCAATAGAATTCCCGTAAATTATTGAGGGAAGCTTAAAATCAAGTTTCAAATCTGTTAGGTGGGTATATAGAACAGCCTCTTTTCAGAAATAGGTAAGAACAGACACCCCCAAACTTGGCCCTCCATATGTTTTGGGACTACAACTCCCATCATCCCTAGCCAACAGGACCAGTGGTAAGGGATGATGAGAATTGTAGTCCCAAAAAATATCTGGAGGGCCGAGTTTGGGGGTGCCTGGGTAAGAATCTACATGCCCACATGTTCTAGGCAGAGGAGGATAGTTCAGCACAATTAGCTGACTTACTCAAGCATAAGAGTTCAGAAAATTAGGATAAGTCACCTGTATCTGCAACGTTTCTCATTGTGTGCTTGAAAGCCCAAATGATAGAATCCAGTACTAGTTTGAACTGTGCAGGTGGGATGGCCAGGAATGCTGGGAAGCAATGGGAGTTTACTGCTTGTAGTAGCAAGAAAAAGTTTGTTCTGTGTTCAGGATATTCTTCAAAGTCCTAATGGCATAGGAAGGAGAAAACAGAAAAAAATAATGCAAGTTACACAATATAGTCTGACCAAAACAAATTTTTAGAACTTCACATTACTTAAAAAAGCACCCCAAAGTAAAGTAATCTAGGGCAGCAGCTGCACAACAGCCGCCACACTTGTTCAAGAGCCCAAACCTAATTTTGAAAGAAGTTTCAAAACAATTCAAATCATGGTTTGATTTACAAGTTTTCAGGACTAGTGTGTACCTGAGGCAGACCAAAACTTTAAACTATGCTCCAGCCTAGTTTAATCTACACTTTTTAACAATGGTTAAAACGATTGTTTCCTTAAAGTTGCTTCCAGTGAATGACTGAATACAGCGAGAATTGAATAAGCGATGAAATGAATGGAGAACTTTCAGAACATTTCTTGCTCTGTTTGAAGTTCTGGTATGCTTATTCAGGCAAGATTTTCAGAGATAGGTATCCCTACATATATGTCAGGCTTAAGTATTTTGCCTTTGCTTTTTACGGAAAGGCAACCAGTAAGTTTTTTATAAGGTTCCTTCTTAGATTTTATTTCCACCTCCAAGAAGAATAGCTCTAACAGCCACTACATGGCAAGCCTCTTCATGAGCAGCAGCCTATAAATGCTTCACACATACATTTACAAGGAACAATACAATTTCAAACAGAGACAACTGAATGTGGTTCACAGCAGTGAAAAAACTCGAAGCATTCCTGTTTGTTGCAGGACTTTGTGAATTACCTTATTGATCATATTTAACGTGCATTCAAAGACAGCATCAAATATCTGAGGTATTTCAGCAGTAATGTGTCCTCCCAGCTTGTTTACTATGATAGCCATTGTACTAAGCACTTCAGGCTCTCTGGCAGCTGGAACATTCCTCTGGTAATCAATAAGAACTGCATCCAGCAAAGGCGGAACAAAGTTTTCAGCTACCTAAAGAGAGAGAAACAGTTGCACTGTAACACAAGGTCTACTATACGTTTGAGTGTGCATTTGCCATTCATTGAGGTTGCTGACACTTGAGAAGTCCACTTACCATCTGAGGATCATTGGATCTGCTCACCCAGCCAGAAATTAGTTTTAAAGTTTCCCTTTTTACTGTTCTCATACTTCTGATCAGAGGTTGCTTCGTAACCATTTCTCCTGGAAGAGTTTGAGGTCAGTTACAACCCAGGAATACATACTTTGTAAAACAATTCAAAAATATTTTTACCCTCCCTTTCCACAGAATGTCCAAGGTAGCTACCCATTTAAAACAAACAAACAAACAAACAAACAAACAAACAAACAAACAAACAACGGAAATATGGCAGATAAAATCCAGGGCAAAGAAAGCAGCTGTCAAAACCTTGTAAAAATCAATTTGAACTTTAAATTGACGTCTTAACTTAAGCAGAGGCTGGACTGTGTATTAGTTAGTTGAGATTCTTGCATTGCCGGGGGGTGGGGGGGTTGGACTAGATGACCCTCAGGGTTCCTTCCAACTCTACAATTCTACCTCAGGGTAAAAGTTCTGACCCTTTTATTATAGGGGCTACCGGACAGCATATACCATCCTTGGTACAAATTCCACCTCCCTCCCCACTCCATCCTGTGAAGGCTTTCCTCAACACTGACTTTAACCATGGTTAATCTATTTTCAAACACAGAAACAAGAAAGAAAGAAAGAAAGAAAGAAAGAAAGAAAGAAAGAAAGAAAGACTAGCAGCAAGTTAAAAGTTTGTCTTAGCAATGGTTAAGGAACTGGTAAAGTTGCATATGCACCAACCCTTCGTGGAAGTTTGTATGACCCCATCTTAACAATCAAAGCCAGGAAGCTGAAAAAGGAGCATCACTTTCAAAAAAACGTCCTGCCTGTAACACTTGCTTTTGTATTGCAATGCTTCCTCGTGTGAAACCATGTTGATTCTTATATAGGCAATTTGATGTGTTGTAGTAAGTTCTGTGACCACACCAGGCAAGGGTTCCCCTATCCCATCCATTCATTAAATTTAATCTTGTTCTAACCACCCTTTGCTTTTCAAACAACACAAACCATTCCATCACTTCATCCGTGTCTTTTACCCAAGCTATCGTATTTTTCGCTCTATTAGACACACCGGACCATAAGACGCACCTCGTTTTTAGGGGAGGAAAACAAGAAATAAGAAAGCAACGCAAAGCCTCCTGAGCGAAGAGGGAGCGCTCCTCTCTCTTCGCTCAGGAGGCTTTCCGGGGCTATCCCTGAAGCCAGGAGAGCAAGCGGGATCGGTGCGCACCGATCCCCCTTGCCCTCCTGGCTTCAGCGAAAGCAAACCTCCTGCCTTTCCCCTCACCTCCCGCTAGAGCCGTGTGCTCTTTAAAGGGAGTGCGGCTCTTGGGGGCTTTTCTGGGAAGTGGGGGAAGGGACAGCGCCGCACGCTCTGTCCCTTCCCCCACCTCCCGCAAAAGCCAGGGATAGCCGCGCAAAGCCTCCGCAGGGCAGCGGGATGAAGGCTGCCTGCTGCCCTGCGGAGGCTTCGTGCCGCTAAGGCAGAAGCTAGAAGTTCTGGCTTCTGGGGTAGCCCGCGAAGCCTCTGCATACTCCAAATACTTATGTTAAAGCCAGTAATACTCACCGTTTGCCTGAATAGCTGCAGAAATGTTTTCACTGAGGCACTTGTACACATTCAGCATATCCAAGTAGATTCTGCCCAGCTGAATCACAAAGGGATGCCCAACAGCTTTACACGCCCGCACATTTGTTTTCAGAATGCTCCCCAATTGCTTAACAGTTTCAGAGTCCTTTAGGATATCAACGTTCTGTGGAACAGAAGTAAACCATGTATATATATTTCCTGCTACTTGATTCGGTATTTTATTCTATCATTTTTATCTGTGTTGCATGTCACCTGGAACACTACGTTAAAACAAAATGTAATAACAGTAATAGTAATAAATTAATTCTCTTCCTCCTCCCTGGCCAGCATAAAAATAGTCTGCTGGTTTGGGGTGGGGGGGGGGAGAGAGAGAGAGAGAGAGAGAGAGAGAGAGAATTCCTTCCTCCATTCCTAGCGCAGAAATGGCAGGCTGATGAAGCCATGCTTTTTCTATTAATTCATTAATTACATTTGGATACCACCCTATACCAGTAGATCCCAGGGTGGTTCTTCTATCAGCTGCATTTGTAACCTGCTCAAGTTTTTCTTTACTAGCCTGCATTTTGCTTACTAGGAGGATGGTAGCAGCCTGTAAGTTTGGGGCGGGGCTGTGCTTAAGAAGGCTGCCTTTAGCGAAATTAGCCGATGCCTCTCTCACACACATAGCAAATGTTTTCGTATTTCGCACCACATCTCCATAGAATTCCACCACAGAGTCTTGGAAGGCAGGTCAATCTCATTTCAGCACTGCCCACCAAAGGATGGTTCCAAACGATGTGCATAAAGCTAGTAATGACATGCTTCATCAGCCTTCTGTGAACTGGAAAAAAATATATATACTCCTTTTGTCCACTATGCTCTATGAAGGTTGCTACAATTTTGCTATGGCGAAGCAGAAACTGCAAGTTACATGAGGCCGAACGGTAAAACTGAAAGTAAAATTAATGTGTTTTAGACCCATACATGGAATGAAGTAGTTTGTGTAACTTTACACAACTCGGGGCAATAAAACCTTTGAAAATTGGGAGTAAATTTTTTGAAGCATCACTGATTTGGGTGACCACTGCCATGGCAGCCATTTTGTGGCTGGTCAAGCCTTCATGGCAGCCATTTTGTTGTGGCTCGCATGACACGCTCACATATGCAAGTGTCTCTGTAGGTTCAAAATAAAGGAAACCCAATAGAGAATATACTTACTTTTGTGGCCTGTTGAATTATGCTGTCCCATACTTGATTAGGGAGTAACATGTATTTCTCTATCAAATGCTCTTGTACTGTCTGGTCAGTCTGTGCTCCAATCATGTATCCAACTGCTTCGTAGAAAGTATGCACCTAGTTGAGGTATCAAATGTACCAAAACATATAGCTGAATATGCTAAAATACGGTAAGCCTATACATGCATTTTAGACTGGTATTTAAAACAGGTGCATTTATTTAAATTATCTGTTCAACGGTGAAGCTGCATATTCTTCTAAAACATGTGAATTATTGCTCAAAAATAAGTAGGGCCTTTTTAGGACAACCTAAAAACACAACTTAAAAGATTGACAAATAAATTTAGAGCACACATGAACTTAGGCCAACAGTGCACCAAGGAGTCAGATTTCCCACTATGGAACAAAGACCATCTACATTACTATGCAGAAAATTTGGCATTTATATAGCTAGCTAGATGTGAATGCTAAAGGACTATTTTGGGCAGAGGAGAACCTAACAGCAAATCAGCCAGTTGCAGCTTGCCACTGCTTTGTACCATGGACATGTGTCCCAAAGCTCCAAAACCACTGTTTTAAGTCCAAAAGTGCTCTTCTGTGGGTGCAAGAGCTTCTTCATATCCAAAACACCGACATAGAATTCATTCCAAGCTTTCTCCATACATCTTTCATTTTACGTCAGGGGTAGAAAAACTATCAGCTCAAAGGCTGAACTTCCTTATAGGGGCTACATTATCAGTGGGCAGAGGCAAAATTGACAGAGCAACAGATGTGTCCACCCTCAGGCCCAAGGCTGCATATTCCTGTTTTTATAAAGTTGAGTGGCATACCTGTTGTGGTTGAAGGTCACAAATGATTGTATTAATGTTGTTCAGGATCTCATCAATGAATGGCATGACCTCTCCCACCTGGACTTGAACAAAGTGTCTGCGGCATTTCTGCGCTATTTTTATAAAAGTATCGCAAGCCATGTCTTGGACACCATCGTGGGTTTCTATAGCAGAGCAAGAGAAAAGTTGTGGATACAAAAAAATTACTGTATACAACGTGCTGCTGTTTCTCAGGTTTCATCTTTCCACAGAAATCTTGCAAAAGTTGGCCTATTTCTCTTTCCTAAATTTAAGTAATATTTTGGTGTCTTCTACTGGGGCTTAAGGAAATGAAATTGGAACAGAGATGCTACTCAGAGTCTTGAGTCAAATGAACACATTCCTGCTTCTCAAAGTCCTATAATGTTAAGGTAGTCTAGGATCAAAAGCAGTTAACTATTTCAAAATTTAGATTGCAAGAAATATTTGTTACTGTGAAAACAAAGTGAGAATTCCAGATAAATTACCATGCATAAATTCAAACAGCTTGTTAACAACAGTCTTCAGAAATTTCCAGTGGGCTCTCAGAAACCTTGGATATTGCCCTACTATATACATTATATTGGATGCAATAATAGCTTTATTATCCTTCCCTCGCTTTTGCTCGCAAAGTCCCAGAAGGTCCTACAAAAGGAAAGAAAGAAACAAAGAATGAAAGAAAGAAAGAAGAATTATGGAGTTGCACTGTTAGAAGTTAAATTTGAAAGCAGTTTTTCTATTCACAGTTTGCAGCATCCAGAATATTTTACAGAACCTCTACAAAGTCCTCATTTTTCTTTTCAATAAATGCCTGCATTACCATAGAGGCTTCTCCTTTTCTCAAATAGAAGGGAAGCACACTCTGGCCCCCAGTAAGGGCTACTGGGATGTGTGTGTGTTTTGCTGGGGCTCTTTTGCATTATTACAATCTATTGCAAGTTGCCTTGAGGATCTTCCATCAAAAGGTGTTGTGCAAGTCTTAAAATAACTTCAGTTATTTTATTTGAACTGCCACTAGCATGTCTACATTTAAGTGTGTTGACTCCAAGACAATAATTGAGGCTGCATCAGCAACAGAAGCTGCGTGTTACCTTTATGAAATCCCGCCTTCCCTGGAGTTAACTCTGGCCACTGGTAAGATTAGCATTCCCTAGAACTTTTGTTCAGATACTGCTTTTTAAAACAGACTATGTTGCACCTCTTTCTGGAAAATCTGCTTTGCTTCCCCCCAAGAGCTACTAACATTTCTCTATCCAGCTATATGCTATACATGATGCTGACTCTGAAGATGGTTTAGAAACTTCCAACTGCTGCAGAATTCAGCGGCCATATTTGAGCACATGACACCAATCCTGGCCCAAATGCACAGGCTGCCAATCAGTTTCCAGTCCCAATTCAAACCGCCGGTTTTGACCTACAAAGCCCGAAATGGCTCAGGACTGCAGTATCTCAAGGACCACCTCTCCACATATGCCACATATGAACCAACCCGGACACCGAGATAATCATTTCAAGCCCTTCTCTGTGTGCCTCCTCCACAAGAGGTCCAGAGGGTGGTAATATGAGAATGGGTCTTTTTTGCAGTAGCTACCCATTTGTGGAATACTTTCCCCGGTGAGGCTCACATGGCACATTTGTTACATACAGTTGCCAGGCAAAAACATTCTCTTTCTCCCAGGCCTTTGGCTAATTAATTGATGACCTTTTAAACTGTGTGGGGATGGGGTGGCTGGGTTGTGTTTTTGTTTGTTCCTATATTACATATTTTTGTGTTTTCATATTGTAAACTGCCCTGTGATCCTCAGATGAAGAGCAATGTAGAAACTTAATAAATACCTTTATTACTGTTACAAGAAACCTCTTCTCATCTTCTTCATGCATTGCCCCACTGATTGAGCCTATGGCCCAACATAGAGTGTTTAGATTTTTCCATGACCATTCGGTACCGTTTACTTGATTGTGAAGTTTCTCTGTCATTATTCGCTCAGTATCTGCGTAATCCAAATGGGTAAGGTAAACTAGAAAAAGAAAAATTGGTCATATATGAAAATGAGCATTACATATTTTCAGGGTTTCAGAGTAACATCTACGCTTCAGAAATATAGTTAATATTTAAAGATAAAAGTGCTGTACTGCTTGTATATTTAATTAATCACACACAGTTCATCCAAACATCACAGTACTATACATTATTCAATACTGTAAGTGGGTATAGGTTTAAAGTAAGTGTTCACATAATTATATTTCACTATACAGTGGTACCTCTGGTTAAGAACTTAATTTGTTTCGGGGGTCCATTCTTAACCTGAGGTACCACTTTAGCTAATGAGGCCTTCTGCTGCCGCAGCGCAATTTTTGTTCTCATCCTGAAGCAAAGTTCTTAACCCGAGGTACTATTTCTGGGTTAACGGAGTCTGTAACCTGAAGCGTCTGTAACCCGAGGTACCACTGTACAGCCATGTTATTATACGTAGTAAGGGCAACTAAAGGGTGCCCTGCAGTTCCCCTAAGGTTATGGGGCTCTCTGCCAGGTAAGGCATATTAAGCATGCATTAGCTAGATTTTTGTAAAAGCAATATAGGCCCTAGTTAGTCTCCTAGGCTTCTGTAGGCATTTGTGACCTAATTTTCCAAGCACAGGATGACCACCAAGACAGAGCTAGTATCATAAAGACTTTATCTAATAAGGACTTCAGGCAGTACCTGAAATTAAAATCATAGTTGACAGAAGCATGTAGAACAAATCTGCATTAAATCGTTTACAAAGAACCACAAGACACATTTATGGCCCTGGGATGATCATGGGAGTTGCAGGCAACTATTATTTAACTTACCTAGTGTTTCTCTCATGTTTTTGTACAAATTGATAGAATCTGTGTCTTTCATGAATTCTCGGACAACTTCCCCCTGGTCATTTTCTACAACAAGCACTTCCTCTGGTTTTGCCATGCGGCTAACCATCAACAACCGCACCTGTATTTGGTGGGGGGGGAGAGACAGAGAAACACACACAAATAAGTTTTTTTGTACAAGAATATTGCTAAATATCTTTACACTTATTTTTTTAACAAGCAGCAGGTGCACTCACCATGAGGCAGGCACACATTCCAATTAATGTCATCTGACTGCAGCAAGCAGGCTTCCTACCTTTTATTTTAAGTGCCATGAACCATGAAAACCCACCTAATATTTTTCACAATACTAGGGGAAACCCAGCTGGATGGGCGGGGTATAAATAATAAATTATTATTATTATTATTATTATTATTATTCAGAGAAATAAGCCCAAACTTTACGAGCTGAAGCAGTAAATTCCTATGAAATGATTTTGGAACTGCTTCTGAATAAATCAAGCCACCAGACATTCAGAAGAATGATTAAGCCCAACTATGACAGATTATAAGCAAGTTGGAAGATTCCTATTACCTTAGACAGAACAGGAAGATAAAGTTGTCTCCGGGGAGGAACATCAAAATGCTGGGTCCCCGAAAGTAATGGCGAAGCAGATGTTGAAAATGGGCTCTCTCTATATAGTTCAGCAGCCAGGTGATTCCAGTACTCCAGACAAATCTTAAAGATTTCAGTTTCTTCAACTTCAGATACCAGCAGCATGTAATGAAGGGCCTAAAGCGAATTTATGGTGATTACTTAATTGACATATGAAAGGGCTAAGCATATATAAAAACTGGCAACTTTAAGATCTGATCGGTTTTTGGTGGAGCATCTCAAAAATGCTTTTGACTAAGTTCTCAGCCCAAAAAAACACAAGGTCACATCCTTAGAATGAATACAAAAGGGCAACTGGCATTGTGTCAGCACTAAGTACTGACAGCAGGAGAAGAGCTCTTACTACAGTGGTGCCCCGCAAGACGAATGCCTCGCAAGACGGAAAACCCGCTAGACGAAAGGGTTTTCCGTTTTTGAGTTGCTTCGCAGGACGAATTTCCCTATGGGCTTGCTTCGCAAGACGAAAATGTCTTGCAAGTCTTGAGATTTTTTTTTCGCTTCCCCCCCCCTTTATCTAATCTGCTAAGCCTTTAATAGCCTTTTAGCAGCTAATCCGCTAAGCCTTTAAGCCTTTAATAGCCGCTAAACCGCTAATAGCGCTAATCCGTTAAGCCGCTAATAGGGTTGCTTCGCAAGACGAAAAAACCGCTAGACGAAGACTCTCGCGGAACGGATTAATTTCGTCTTGCGAGGCACCACTGTATTTCACAAGGTAAACGATTACCAGACTAGAAATGCTGGAGAACTCCCTTTGAGAACTGCACAGCCCGAACACAAATACTGGGACCAGGCCAACTGTGCAGCTGACAAAGGAGCTTACATTTGAGACACAAAATTACCCTGTCTACTAATCCAAGTTAAGTCTGCCCTCATGCTTTACTCAGTTCTTGACCCAACTTACTTTTCAGTAAAGACGATGAGATACGGAGGACACCAAAACAACAACACACACAAGTAAGAAGCAAGCAAACTGGGAAAACTTACTTCCATTAATGTCTCCCTTAGATTTAAACGTTTTTCTATAAGTTGACCATGCTCTTTCAGAAAGGTACAGAGAAACAAACTGAGATTCTGGATGAAATTCTGCTCATCGTCTTTTCCATTGGAGTATGCAAGTCGAATATTGGTGTTCAAAGGAAGCATCTAAGAACAATAGAACTCAAAATTATAATCTGGCAGTCATGTAAATGCCAATGGTGTCATCAACTACACACACTTTGGCCCGCTTCACTTTGGATTGCTGCTATAAATAGCTCCACTGAGATCAATGGGATTTCACCCCATGTGGACGTTTCTGAACAACTTGGCATACGATCCACCGATAAGATTCATTAACTCCTTGAATGTTGCATACAGGGGAAAAAATACTGGGATTCCACAAGATTTACTTCCAATGAACAAGTTGTTGCCTGCACTGGAAATCTTGGTATCCAGTTGAAGGATTTGAGAGGAACCAACTGCTTCAGAGTAAGAACTGCCACCCACTCTAATATAAGTTTGGGAGGAGGAGGAGGAGAAATTACCTGTTTCAGCTGCATCATCGTCAAGGTAAAGAGTGTGACAAACTGTTCCTCATACTGACTTACACTGACACCAGCAATCTCTGTGAGGCACTTCAAGGAGACATTTCGGAACATAGGGACATTTAAAAACTGTAAAAGAAAAAATATGCATAGAAGTTAGGTACTCACTTACTAGCTACAACCAGCACCCCATTTTCCTACTTAGTGGTTATTTAAGTAAAAGGTAAAGGTACCCTTGACCATTAGGGTCCAGTCGTGGACGACTCTGGAGTTGCTCGCTCATCTTGCTCTGTAGGCCAAGGGAACCAATGTTTGTCTGCAGACAGCTTGTCATGTGGCCAGCATGACTAAGCTGCTTCTACTGAACCAGAGCAGCGCACAGAAACGCCGTTTACCTTCCTGCCAGAGTGGTACCTATTTATCTACTTGCACTTTGACGTGCTTTCAAACTGCTAGGTGGGCAGGAGCTGGGACCGAACAACGGGAGCTCACCCCGTTGTGGGGATTCGAACCGCGACCTTCTGATCGGCAAGTCCTAGGGTCTGTGGTTTAGATCACAGTACCACTATGTGGTTATTTAGTTTAGAGGAAATACTCACTTTGTATATTAGCGTGCTGATCAGCTTGGTCTCAAAAATATAGCCCAGTGGAATCCAGTTGAGGAATCGAAGCAAAGTTTCCAAAGTCGCATGAACAAGGGGAGCATTTTGAGAGTTTTCCTGTTAACAAAGCTACATATAAGCAAATCTGTCTTTATAATAATGTGACCATTTTACAAAGATTATATTGCAATAAAGCTTACCATCACAAATTGACACAGCTGAAATATCTGTGAGAACTCATTGCACATACTAGAATAAATAGAGAGAGAAAATCAGCAACTAACAACAACAATTTTATTATTTGTACTCTGCCAATCTGAATGGGTTGCCCCAGCCACTCTGGGCGGTTTCTAACAAATAAAAAAACATAATAAAACATTAGATTAAAAAGCAATAAAAAGCAACATTAAAAGTTGCAATATAAAATGCCTCTACCATGTTTAATACGTCATACTACTGCAAAGACTTTTGTTACTACTTTTAGAGGTTTTGCAGGATAGCCCAAGCAAACACCAGCAGATTACAAAGTACCAATTCAAGCAAAGGCAAGAACCTGCAGATATGTGCAGTAAGCCTGCAACTTACGTGCATTTAACTTGTGCATATTCAGCTTGCACGCTTAGCAAATAGTTAAATATCCAGGGGAAAACAGACTTTGGCAAACCCACCCACCATTGAACCCAATGCATTTTTGGACTATATACAATTTTGGCTTTAGGCACGATCCCTGGAACGTAACCCCCATGTAAGTTGTGGGCTTACTGTATTGCTTCTGAAGTCTATCTTTTAAGAGCACAAGTTGCAAAATTGTTTTATTTCTACATCACAAACTTAGAGACATATAAGCTCTGTTTAGAGTTTAGGGAAAGAGGCAGTTGCAATATATTGCCTCCAAATACCTGCAAGGAAAGCTGGTGGATAAAACAGATGGGCAACAGCCCACTAAGGTACAGTATATGGGGGGGAGAAACACTACTTGCCTGTCCTTTAAGTGTTTGGCTTTTACTTGAGTTATTTGTCCACTGGAAAAGTCAAACACCTCTTCACTAAGCAGTTTCAAGATCACCATGTTGTTCTGACAAAGGCTCTCACTTGTCCTGCTGGCCCCAACTATGTCACTGATGAATGTTGGCCAATGCTTTGGCCATTCTTGTTTTAGTATCTGCAAAGCATGAGAACCCCATGTGGTATAAGATTAGTTTTCTTCTGATAAAACCTTCATAACTAGTATTTTTAGGTCAGAGACAAAACTTACCTGAACAAGAATCATGTTTAACTTCCCTATGTATACTTTCTCTTTCTAGAGGAAACAAAGAAAAAAGAATTAGGGCCTGGTTTCACTTCATCAGAAAGGAGCCCACTTTCCAGTTCCCTAGAGAAATCTCACTTACTTCAACACATGATGGATCGGATGAAGTCTTGATAATTAAGCCAACAACGTATTTTTTGATACCTACAAAATATTTTTTAAAAGTTTGTAAACTATCAAACAACAAATCAATGATAAAACAGGATGTATCAAGGAATTATTAAAAGCCCCAAGTATACAGTGTCCCTGAGTAAAGCTGCCTGAATACATTAAGCCAGGAACAGGCAAACTTGGCCCTCCAGATGTTTTGGGACTACAACTCTCATCATCCCTAGCTAACAGGACTAGGGGTCAGGGATGATGGGAGTTGTAGTCCCAAAACACCTGGAGGGCCGAGTTTGCCTATGCCTGCATTAAGCAGTAATGGGATAAGAGAACAGATTATCCTATGGACTGATAATTGATTAAAGAACAGGAATAGGAATAACTAAACAATGAAGCCCCTCAAACATCTGCATTAGGAATGATGCCTTTACTTAAGTTCCTAAATTTTGTGGACTTAAGGGTTAAGTGAAGTAGCCAAGATTGTGGATTGCTTCAATTTTTTTATGATGATGATGAAACCCAATAGGACTCTAAAGAGCCATATCCAAATTGAGAGAGAGACAAATGCAGTTCAGTGTAAAGAGATACACATTGGCGCAAATATCCTAAATGCACACATACTGAAGGGGCCCAAACTCACAGCGACTAACGAAGAATGCTCTTGAGGTCATGGCGGATGGCACAATGAAATGTTGACCCAGTGTGCAGCAGCTGTGAAAAAGGTGAATTCTGTGCTAGGGACCATTAGGGAAAGGGATTGGGGTGGGGAGAAGGTGCCAATATTATACACCAGGACAGAAGTCAGCAACCTAAGGCCCATGGGCCGGAAGCAGCCCACGAGGGTCGCTTAACCAGCCCATGAGCCACCCCCGAACCGAGCCGCCCTCTCAGCAAGTCCCTGCGTGCTGCGCTAAACTGGTGTAGGGGGCTCTGCATGGGGACTCTCTTCTGCGGCTCCGGAAATCGCGTCTGCGCATACCCAGATGCCGGAAATCGCATCTGGGCATGTGCAGATGCGATTTCCGGCACTGCAGACATGCGCAGACGCGATTTCTGGCATCGTGCTGTGCCAATCTGGCCCATGGAGGATCTCCATGGGAGTGATCCGGCCCATGCCCGGGAAGCCTTGCCGACCCCTGCACTAGGAATACTGCCCTGCTTCTCTCATGCAATCCTAAGCCATGGTTTATTAAACAGTGGTTATTAAACCACCACTTAGCTTTATGTATGAACCCTGCCCTTGGGCTTAACTATAGTTAATGGCGAACAAGCTGCAACTTGAACTGTGGCTTGTTGTTGGCTTATAAACAGATGTAAAGTTCATTGGGTAAACTACGGTCAAACTGCTCTCATAAAATCAATTTCAGTTCCAGTGAAAGAAAATACTTTAGACTAGTAAATTCTTTATCTGTCAACTTAATTTTGGAATGGGTATCTCAAGCATGTCATCCTGCCCCAAGAGAGAAAATTAACCCATGAACTGAGAGCAAGAAAGAATTTTTTTGCAACAGACAATTTTCATACTGTCTGGTCAGATTTCATTTCATATATTATGATGAAAGAACATAGCTATTGGCTGCCTGTAATACATGGAAACCTGAGGAGAAGCCACCCCCTCCCCCGATATACAGGTTGACGTCTTCTGATATACCTTGCATTCAGGGAGTGGGAGAAAGGGGTGGTGGGAGGTGGGGAAACTATTCAATTTATTAGTTTAACACCAATTTAACCATCATGGTTTCCCATAAAGAATTCTGGGATTGCAGTTTAGCAAGGCTTTTGGATTTATTTTAAAAACTGTACCCAAGGATGGCTCCATGGAGCCTTCCGAACGGGCAGCAATGCAACATACTATACCATGAACAGCAACAGATCAATACACACAACACTTGACATTTCATGCAGTCAAGACAGCCTTGAGGATCTCCCTTTCAGCAGGTTCCCCTGACCTTCAGAAGAGGCAGGAGTGGGGGATCACCTTCTGCCATAACTTTACTATGTGCTTCTTTTCGCTGAATCTTACACAAGTTATTTAAAATTTGCAAAGAATGAAGAAAAAAAGCCAAGAGTTGTTAGAAAGGGCAAAGCTGTATACAAAGCTTTCTCCAGTCCTTTGTTGTTCCAACTACCAACTACTGCTTCTGATTCTTTGCATTACAAGCAAGTCTAAATAAGCCCATCCTTTCCTCACAGGGTGGGGCTTACTCAAAAGACTGTCACTATGGAGCAAAACCTTCCTCAATTTGCAGAAATTCACACTTAAAATAACTAATAGTATTTATTTTCAGAGTGACAGCTGTCATGGCTTCTTTCTTCCAGCATACAATCCAAATATTTTGCTCTTCTCTTTTGCACTCACTTGTATCCAGTGCTGCCATTTCACTCATGCAATAAATGTCTGCTTGTGCAACAAAATTCACCCCCTACAATTCTCTCCAGGCCTTTATGCACCCTCAAAATATGCTTCAGAGGGCTGGGGGACCTTGGATGCTACCCATATTCACTGTGAAGACTAGTGCAATGCAGTTAGTTCTTTTATCATGCCCTCTGTAATGGGAACATGTTTCACAGCCCCCACTTTCCTTTTGAATTTCTCTGTTATGTAGTTTTTCGAATCTGACCTGAAAAGGTTATTTGATGAGGATAGTTTATTTTGATTTAAAATCAAAGATAATACATACTGTTGTTGCCCGATTTAAAATTAACTATCTATCTTGGTATTAGGTAAAGGACTACAAGCAAAATAAAACAAATACCACACTTGAACTAATCTTACTTCACTATAAACTCCACGGTATCAAACCAATAATTCATCTAGTGTCTCCTTTTGCTGTTGGGAAGAGGAAGACATGGAGTGGACAAAGACCCACAATTGGTTTTGATTGGTGGGCAGGGGGGCAAGCATTCCAGTGCAGAAGCAAGTAAGCGGTAAGAGACTTGCATTGACACCATGCACCCAGTGTATGAAATACCCTCAGGCACCAGGTGCATTTTGCAACTTGGCATGGCTTAATTGCAACCAATGGTTGCGTAATAGGGCGACTAGTGATGTGAGGTGAGAATATTCTCCACAAACTGTTAATTCTGATGTAATAACCAGTTTTACAACCCACATTTAAAAAATCTAGTAAATAGTAAGACAAGCTGTGATATTGCCAGTGTAACTAATGATGTTTTTTTATCCTGTTCCATTGCTGGGCATTATGTCATTCACCATTGGCAGTTCTGAAATGTGAGCTACAGAAAACTTTTTTGTCTTTAAAAAGCTATTCATTTAATTTGATGAACATTTGAATTCATATGTATTTCAACTATATGTACCGTATTTTTCGCTCTATTGGACGCAGTTTTTCCTCTCCAAAAATTGAGGGGAAATGTGTGTGCGTCCTATAGAGCGAATGCAGGCTTGTGCCATAGCCGCACGCAACCCCTCCGGCAGGGAGAGGCTGCACGGGGCTATGGCTTCTTTAGCCCTGCGCAGCATCTCCCGGCAAGGAGAGGCTGCACGGGGCTAAAGGGGAAGCCAAAACAGTGAGCGGGATGGATCCCGCTCGCTGCCTTGCCTGCTTCCATAGCTGCACGCAACCCCTCCGGCAAGGAGAGGCTGCACGGGGCTAAAGGGGAAGCCAAAACAGCGAGCGGGATCCATCCCACTCACTGCCTTGCCTTCTTCCATAGCTGCGCGCAACCCCTCCGGCAAGGAGAGGCTGCACGGGGCTAAAGGGGAAGCCAAAACAGCGAGCGGGATCCATCCCGCTCGCTGCCTTGCCTTCTTCCATAGCTGCGTGCAACCCCTCCGCAAGGAGAGGCTGCACGGGGCTATGGCTTCTTTAGCCCCACGCAGTCTCTCCTGGCAAGGAGAGGCTGTGCGGGGCTAAAGAGGAAGCCAAAACAGCGAGCGGGATCCAATCCGCTCGCTGCCTTGCCTTCTTCCATAGCTGCGCGCAACCCCTCCGCAAGGAGAGGCTGCACGGGGCTATGGCTTCTTTAGCCCTGCGCAGCGTCTCCTGGCAAGGAGAGGTTGTGCGGGGCTAAAGAGGAAGCCAAAACAGCGAGCGGGATCCATCCCGCCCGCTGCCTTGGCTTCTTCCATAGCTGCGCGCAACCACTCTGCAGGGAGAGGTTGTGCGCAGCCTGTACGCTGCTCTTTGGGGCTGGGGGGGAAAAGTATTTTTTCCCTTGATTTCCCCCCCTAAAAACTGGGTGCGCCCTATGGTCCGGTGCGCCCTATGGTGCGAAAAATACGGTAATAGCCTTTTTCTATTTTGGTGTGACCTTATTCTTACTAATTCTATACCCTTGGCCATACAGTGCGATTTTTTTTATTTTTTTTTACAGAAAGTAGCTTTAATGCTTTATACACTTAAAGTACCTAGGCATATAGAATTATGTGTAACAGCATAATTCACTTTGCTGCAAATATCCTTGATTCCAAGTATAATGGCGTTCATTTATCAAGAGACGAACAAATTCAAGATACCGAGTTCAGTGATCTCAAAATATCAGCAAGTCCACCAAATGATGCACAAGATATTTTGGCAGAGCTGGCAGCATATCGTGCTAAGGAAGTTTTTTAAGCAAGTCATATGTACTGAAGTCGGTTGAAAAAGTGGATGCAGTGGATTGGTGGAAGGGAACATGCTTTGGTTCAAAGCTTAGAAGAGTGGCTGGGGACATTTTAAATATGCCACCAACGACAGCTGCAACAGAACGTAGCTTCAATACTTATGAACTTATTCATTCAGCAAAAGACAGAGACATACGTAGCTCATAACTTAAAACTCCTAGAAGAGAAGAAAGCACAGCTTCTAACAAGCTCATTGAATTTTATACAACCATCAACTTCGTTCAATGATCTCGCAGATGATCAGTGTGGAACTGAAAGCTCTGCTACCAGGAGACGAAGATGGTGACTTATCCTCTTAAGATGTTTGAAGAATCAATATAAATTTATAAACATTTGAGACTTGTTACTCAAAGCCTATTTTTCACATACATTTCTTTTTTGTGACAATCTATCAGTTATAATTTAAATATGTTGTGTGTTGCCTTACTTATCTAAGCAGATAGTAATTTGCATTTCTGATGTTACGTAACTTGTCATTGCTGATTATTTTTCTGGAAATTATAACATTTATTTTAAACTTTATATTGATTTTATTAGTGTTGCACTGAAAATACTGTACCATGTAGATATGCTTATTAAACGTTGATGGTAAATGCAGGCTTAGTGATTAACCTGAGTCATTCACACTGAATTTTCAATTTCAAGTTTGGTGCAAAAAAATCAAAGAATGCGAATTCGCTGCATTGCCCCATGGTACAAAAGTATCTGTACAGTTTTTGGTTGCCATCTGAACAAGTTTACCCATGAAGAAACATGTATATTAACTAATTATATAATTTTCAATGCATTAAAATGAATATTCTATTTTATAAGAAAATTCTCGAATATTCTCATTAATCAAGAATATTCTGCAAAAGATTATTCTCGAGAATTTAACATCACTAAGGGCGGCTGAGACTCGAGAGTAAAACTGCCACTGTGAATCAAAACAGCACCCTGTGTGACTCAAGTAAAATTTAGTGCCACTGTATTCTGCTCTGGTCAGACCTCACCTGGAGTACTGTGTCCAGTTCTGGGCACCACAGTTCAAGGAGGACACTGACAAACTGGAACGTGTCCAGAGGAGGGCAACCAAAATGGTCAAAGGCCTGGAAACGATGCCTTATGAGGAACGGCTGAGGGAGCTGGGCATGTTTAGCCTGGAGAAGAGGAGGTTAAGGGGTGATATGATAGCCATGTTCCAATATATAAAAGGATGTCACATAGAGGAGGGAGAAAGGTTGTTTTCTGCTGCTCCACAGAAGCGGACACGGAGCAATGGATCCAAACTACAAGAAAGAAGACTCCACCTAAACATTAGGAAGAACTTCCTGACAGTAAGAGCTGTTCGACAGTGGAATTTGCTGCCAAGGAGTGTGGTGGAGTCTCCTTCTTTGGAGGTCTTTAAGCAGAGGCTTGACAACCATATGTCAGGAGTGCTCTGATGGTGTTTCCTGCTTGGCAGGGGGTTGGACTCGATGGCCCTTGTGGTCTTTTCCAACTCTATGATTCTATGCTGTCGCTGCTGCGCAAGTGAAAACGACATCCCGCTCAACTCACAAGTAGAATGAAATCATATTTTTTAAAAAGCAACTAGACATTCTGCTATGGTGATCATAACCTAGGTTTAAGGCGCATTTTGGCAAATAGCTGATATATCTGAATTTCTAACACTGCTTGCACCATATGCAATGGCAACTGTTAACAGCCACAGCATGTCTGCATTTAAGCATATATCCATAACCATGAGAACCAGAAACTAGCTATTTAAAGAATAAAAGCATGTTTGCAGGATCCTGTGCCATTTTTTAGATTCTGCCACATGACTGCACACTTGTCAAACTACCATTCATGTTTATAGGGAGGCTGCAGTAATAAGGAACTAGAGATTTCAGGTATGAAAGCTGGACTTCAGCTGCCATTAGAATAGTTATCATAAGAAGCATAGTTGCTCCCTCGCAATTAGGTATGTTGCTGCTTGAGCAATGCAGGGGTACAAGCTCCTTTGCAAGCTATGTAACAAAAGGCCACTAGAATGTATTGCGCTAAGGACGACCAATGTGCTTATGGCACTGGATTTAAAATAAATGTTGTGCATTCATAAACAGTTATCATAAAACAAGGGTTTGTGTGCTGTGTACTACAAATCTGAATTACAGTCATACCTCGGGTTACAGACACTTCAGGTTGCGCGTTTTTAGGTTACAGATGCGCCGAAACCTGGAAGTACTGGAATGGGTTACTTCCGGGTTTCGGTGCTCGCGCATGTGCAGAACTGCTAAACTGCGCTTTGTGCATGTGCCAAATTGCAACCCGCGTGTGCGCAGCGCTGCGGGTTGTGAACGTGCCTCCCGCACAGATCACGTTCGCAACCTGAGTGTCCACCGAGTGTCCAACTATGGAGATGTTAACACCCAACCTGCACATTGCTGTTAATTAAAAGGCTCCTGTGAAACCTAAGCACCCACATAGATGGTTCCCTGCTGTGTCCAAATGATTCACGTTCTAGCCATGTCTCCAATCATCCTCCACTGGGGGTGGGTAATTCTGTCTGCATCTCTAGATCATATATGAATGTGACTGAATGATTGAATCACTCCAGATGCAGACAAAAATTTTGAAAACCCTGTCCTTAAGGGGTGGCATGCGCAATCCTGAAGATTGTCCAAGTAAACTTCTGAGTGCAAGAACGGAGCTTGTCTCCAATTGTAATTCAGAAAAAGAAATGTACTGCAGCTTCTCTTGCACAGCATACTCCACTGGTCTGCCTTGCCTGCCTGAAACTATGTTCAGCCACTACCCTACCCCCATTTCTTTGTTGTAGCCAATTCTGTCCTGGTTCTTTGATCCAGTGGAGGCTTCAGTCAATATAAGGGTAAAGGGAAGACAATTTACATCAGTTCTCCCTTTGCACTGTAGCCCCTCTTATCTGCTCCAGAGCTGAGAGACCCTCAGGAACAGTGTGGAGGGTGGCAGAGGGTGACTTGGTGGACATTGCCCTCATGGAAACCTCTGCTGGATCAAAAGAGCCTTCTGTGAACAATCACCACCACTGAATATGCTATTAATCTTTATCAATTTAACAACATCAGATTGCTGTCATATCCATCTCTTCCCTTTTGTCATCATGCCTCCCTGGTGTCTTCAGGGCACACTTTTAAGTGAAATGAAGCAACCTCAGAATGATAGATTATGTGCCTAGCATACGGTAACTTGCAACTTATGCACATTTAACTTGTGCAACTTCATCTTTCCACAACTGACGGCTGGTTGGTTGAAATCACACAAATTAAATGTATGGGAGGCGGAGAGCTTAAAAGCTCTTTTGCGCAGGGTTTCCCAGCACGGAAGGAGATTTTAAGCTCTTAAAACTTGCTCACCAGGCTTTGGGAGGCTTCTTGCAAGATCTCGGACAGCCCTGCAAGATTTTGTGACACTCTCAGGGCCTGGCAAGCAAGTCTGAGAGCTTAAAAGCTCTCTGCTGTGTGTGTGTGTACTGTTTAGTGTGCCAGTTCTGGAATGTCAAAATACTTGCAAGTGGGTGCTTATAAGGGGTGGCTTGAGTATACATGTTTTTATGCATATGTGCCATCTCCAGAACATAACCCCTGCATAAAATGTGAGCGACCTGTACCAAATTTGGCAGTGGTGTAGTACAAATGTAGAGCCTCCAATACATACATATCTGATGATTCTGACCAATGATCTGACCAATTGTAGTAAAATCTTGAAGTAGCACTTTCTGACATTATGGCACTTCTGGGAAGAGATGGGCAGTAATGGGGGAAAAATCCAGGTCTTATCAGGAATTTAATGCTCATATAATTACTAAAATTTTATTTATTTATTATTATTACATTTATATCCTGTCCTTTCACTCAAAGCAGACCAGGGCAGCAACTGGATGAAGGCATCCAGCACATTAAAATATTTTTGCTTAAGATCTGCCTAGCCCATATATGATTGCATTTGATCTAAAGGGGTGGTCATGGGGGGAATCTACTTTTACACCAACAGTGTTGAGGTAATGCAAGTGTTAACAGCAGATTATAGTAAACCTGGAACAGTGAGTGCTTTTTCAGAAAGAACTTTCCTAGATAGCATGACAGAAATATGGAGGGTACATACATAAGGAGATAGTCTAGGAAGTGATTCTAGCAGATTTTAATAATTTCTGAACTGGTGGTCATTGCAAAAACAACAAGGGGCAAGAGTATTGGGGCACCTACAAGACATATATAAGCTCAGATGGTCTATATCAGGGGCCAGACTATTTTTTTTGGGGGGGGGAATAAACGAATTCCTATGCAGACTAGGAATAATGCGGTGGGGGAAGGACAGGCATAATAAAATAAAATAAAATAAATAAAATAAAATAGTGTGCATTAAGTGGGGTGGGGAAGGCTCCTCAACAGACAAGCTCACCCACCACCACGCTGCTCATCCTCCCGCCACCCCCCAAACCACACACACAGAGACCCACAATCGCCCCACGGAGAAAATGTTGGCAAGTTCAGTATGAGAACGGCTGAGGCGAAGGAGGGATGGCGGCTCTGGAGAAGTGGCATCGGTGGGGGGGAGCTGGAAGAAGGGGTGAGGGGGGCGAGTAGTCTTCCTCCCCACCCACCCCAGCAGCTTTCTCGGTTTGCTGCCTGCCTCATTTGCCGAAGGGCTGGCGGTGGTGGCATGAAACGGGCTTCCTCCTCGCCAAGAGAAAGAGCTGTCACTGCCACCACTTCTTGTCAAGCGGGTAAGCGGAGTGAGCTTGTCTGCTCCGCTCTCTGGTCCACAGGAGCACCAGGGCAGCGGCAGCGATGGGAGGAAGATTATTATTATTACTACTACTATTTTCCCAATGGCCTGACTTGGAGGGAGAATAAGAGGTGAAAGGCTGGTGGGAAAGCAGAGAGAAAGAGAGAGAAGAGGATTTTTTCCCTTCCACCATCTAATTCCGCACGCTCAACTTCCGGGGACATAATACAATACTAATAATATCAATGATATCGGGGTAAGTAAGCAAGCAAAGGTGGCCGGGCCCTCTACCCGAAACAAGGAGTGGTGGGGCGTGTGGAAGCAGTGAGTGGTGCCACCCAGACCTACACCTTTTCTTCTTGTTGGAGCTGCCCGTCATGGCGCAGGGCTGCATGGTGGCAGCTGTGCCATTGTCATCGGAAGCCAGCTTGACTGCCCAGATGGAGTTTCCGCTGAAGTAAACCAGGCACGGCGTTTGATGCCAGAGCAACTCGGCCTCTTCCTCCCATCGCCATCGCTGGCAGTCTTGGCTTCATGGCGGGTTCTTAAATGGCCAGGCAGGCAGAATCTAGGACCCAGCCGGGCCTGATCAGGCCCAGAGACTGTAGTTTGCCGACCCCTGGTCTATATAGCCTACTTCATGATATCCAGTAGACTCTATCCACAAAAGCTTTTTAGCAGATTTTATGACACTCTGTATTCTTGGACAGTGCCAAGGTACAGTGGCAAATTTAGGACTGTGCAAGCACTGGTTGTTCAGCCAGGGGGCACATTCTCAAAGCAGGGAAGGTAAGTGAGGCATCAGACTTTGGGAAGGAGGTATGAGTCTCTGGTTGGTTGAGTTCACAATTTTGCTTTATTTTTAAAGAAGCTTTTTTTTGTTCTTAAGTTACATATTTTGTTCTTCCATTTTGTATTTTAATGTTGTAAACCACCCAGTGATCTTCGGATGAAGGGTGGCATATAAGTTTAATAAATAACAGTAATAATAACCGAGTTGGAAACACCTGTCTAGAAGTCAAGAGTGCATAGTAAGACTAAGCATGTGCTTGGTTTCTAGGTCCCATCGTTTGCTTGCAGGCCTAAGACTCAACTCTCATGTTCATCAATTCCTGATCTTTCACAATCCAGCCTTATTTATTTTTACATTTATATCCCATCTCCTGCCCCAAACAACTTTGGGAGGTATAGAGGTTCTCCCCCTCTCCACAGTATTTTCACAACAATCCTGTGAAGCAGGTTAGACTGTGTTGGGGGCTGGCCCAAGGTCACCCAGTCAGCTTCATGGTCAAATGGGAATTTAGACCCTAAAACTCTTAATGACAGTACACTGAACTCTTAGAAGTACCTCTCCATTTGCATACAATCGGCATGTGTGCAAGCGCTGACACATGCTCTGCTTTCACCACCACAAGGGGATGGGGGCTTACACACGTCCTGCAGAAACGTGTGGTGCATCAGAATGTAACCCCCGCATAAATGGGGAGTTGTCTGTACACCCTTCCCCAATGCAAATTACAATTTTCTTTAAAGCATAACATAAAATCAGAAAAACACAAATACCATACATTAATCAAAAGAACAGATGTAATAAAACAGCACCACATCTATCAGTACCAATTCATCAGTTGAATGAGTGGTATAGTAAATAGTAAAATTCTTGGTACTGGATTCAGAAACTAGCCTAAAAATGGACTTGCTAGGTAGGCTTTGGCAAGTAATTTTTTAAGACACAATTCTTACTCATGAATTTGGAGTATTAGTGATCTCTTTCATTGAGACTTTTCTATTATGTATAGTGCTTTCTGTATGCAAAAGCTGTGGGCATAATCCAGTTGGTACGTTAGCACTAAAGAAAGGGCTGGGGATCAAGTGAATGTGTTTGCTAATGGAAGAAGCTGCAAGGCAAATATCTGCAAAGTACCCCTTCCTTCTGCAGTGTCAACATCCCCCCAAATATCAGCTCCAGAGCATAGGGGAGTCTTCCGTAACAGGCTGGAAGATGGTTTAACCAACCAGGCTTCATCCATCAGCCAAAGCAGCTGCTGCGAGGGGACTACTTAAGATTACACAGTCCATTTAAATCCTATCTCAGCTCAAGAAGAAACTAAAGAGAGAATGTGATGTAATATTCATCCAATACTGAAAGAAATTTAAACATACTTGTCATTTACTGGTTTTAAAACCAGGTTAAAAAGCCACACCAAAATTTCAAGTAATGCATGCCAATTTGCAGCAACCACCTTTTTAAGCCCTATTCTACACATTGACTCTACTCTGGTTTGCTTAATGTACAGCTGAAGCTCAGCTATTATGAATCATGACATCACATAAATCGATGCTCACCCTGACAGCTCGTATACCAGCTTTCCAGAGTCAGTATCACATACTTTGATGTTGCCACTTCTGCCAGTCCCAGCTTCAATTAAAGCAACCAGACCAAGTGCCAAAAGTTGACAGTGTGCAAGATTGCTAACTATGCTTAGCACTAGACAAGCAGTTCTTGGAATGGAACTGCAATCAGTTCCATTTAGCGCCACCTCTCATTCCTACAAGCTGCAAATACAGACACTCTAGAATCATTCCAGCAAATACAAACTCCATCAGCACTCTTACAAGAGTGCACCCTCCCCATCCTTCACAAGGCAATTTAATTCTCCAATAGTTCCATTCTTCCTTGTATCTGAAGGAGGAATTACTGGCCCAACAAAATGTGTTCCATCTGGAAGCAGCTATGCATGGCTCAGAAGTGGCCCTTAGCTTGGATCTCTGTGTTGTCAAAACATGTAACTCCTTTTTATCAAGGTTTTTATACATCAGTACATTTGTCAAGCATTGGAAATTCCCTTGCCAGTATGAAACAGCTGTCTAAACGTACTTTGCTTTGGTGAAAACAATGCTGTTTGCTCAAAACAGCAGTGCCAGGATTGGGGAGAAATCAAGCAGCTATGCATTATAATTCACTGGCCAAACACAGCTGTTTTAAGTGTGGATTAGGAGCTTGATTGCCAATGAAATAAGCAGCTAAAAAATGGGGGGGGGGAGTGAGAAGAGGGTAGTTATATTGCATCAGGACAGTCATTTGAAGTTTAATCAGTGGCCACGTTTGGAAATCAGGACATGTTAAAATTTGCGTCTCCATTCATCCCACAGTATTTTTAAAAATCTGCATGACTTCATTATCATACACTGACACAAGGTCCAATACCTGATCTATTAGGCACTACCCCAGTGCAATATCCAAAAACATACCATACGAGCATCAGTGAGTCTAAACTGTACAAAGAAGTCACTCATATCTACCTTCACACTGGGTTCTTGGAAGAATCTTCCATCTTGTTTTTATCACGTTTTCCAAGATCTGCAGGCCATAATACTGAAAATTGGAGAAGTGAAGCATGTGAGTATGCTGGATGATTTAACAATAGCTTTCAGGATTCTCATTCAAGCTGACATCATTCACACTTAACATCTAAGATTAAGTCTGTTAAAAACAAGTCTATTCACCCATTTATTGAGCTTTTCCCATGCATTTTCCTTATTTTACCCTCTTATATTCTAAAGTCCTGCTGCTTTTGATCATGGTTACATTAGAAAGGGAAACAAAAAAAATGTTTTGCAAAGCCAAATGACTTATCTGTAAGGGGAAAAATGGCAGCCACATAAAAATGAATAGCCTAAATGACTGCTCACAAGTTCAAGCACACAACCAAGTTTAGCAACTTGGATGAGCATGGGCTTCCTGGCACTTGAGCTGTTAAGACCAGGGCTTAACATTACATCTACTAACACTTTCTGAAGGATGTATTTTCTGCACTTCACTGGTGTGTACTTAAGGAACAGCAAGACAGCTCATAGGTTGTTGTTGGTTTTTTTTAAAAAAAAGATACAGTAGTCTCTCCCCTATAGCAGCTATATCTACTGTTTAACTTTTGTGCTCAGTCAAAAGTTCACCATTTCTAGATACACTTCTAAAGTCGTTTTACCACTCAGATAAGCCTCCCAAAGGCATGGTTCAAATGCATACATTTATAGGAAATGAGAAAAGCTCTTCAACCCATTTTATTCCATTTATCTCAACGTAAATATGTCCAGTAGACCTCTATGAAAAGTTGTATCAGACTAAGGTCATCATTAAAAGCAACAACACAGAGAAGAGGAGGAAAAGGGGTCAAAGAGATGCAGCTTTCCCTTTAATCAGAAACCAACACTGAGGAGACAGGAGGCAATACCTGAAAGGCAAATCTATGTTTTAACGTTGATGGCTGGTGAAGATTTGGCTGAGAATAAAAGTTCTTCAAGTCTGTTAGTGTCTATACAAAGTAGGGTAATTAGAATTTCAGCCAAAGGGATCATGTAAGCCTCATTTTAAATAAATAGCACAATGTAGACTGTCCCAAACTACATTGTACTCTCCAGTTGGTTGATGGTTGTTTACATTTTAACTTCCCACTCTCTTCTAAGGTATTAGTAGTTCATATATTTTAGAACTCCACATCTTCATAAAAGGAGTAAATTTAGTTATGCATCTGTGATATTTCTAGCCTAGTTAATGATCTTCCATTGTAGAAGCCGGTGAAACATTTCAATCTGAAGATGCAATTCAAGGAAGTTATATGCAAAAGGTGGGAAAGAACATCTGCAGCTGAATATTTGCTTGTTGTTTCTTCAGCAGGTCGCATTGCTGAAGTAAAGAGCTAAGTTTGTAAAACTGAATTGCAGGTTGCCTCCTCAGCAGTAGGAACTGGTGCCAGAGAAGCAGCAAGCAAAGCTTTGGCAATGCTTGAGGTTCTCTTCTCCCCCCCCCCCCACCGATGCACATAACTTCTTTGTATTGTGGCCTAAATCTCAAGTGAACAAACATTTCTACTGAACAGTGATGGCATTCATGAAGCAGCTCTGAATAGGTTCCCAAGCTGTTCATCAGCAGTCACTGCAGTGTATGCACCACATCTGCGCAATGGGGTGACTCCCTATGGGCAAGATTTCACCTGTAATAACTCCCTTTAAAGTTGCTCAGTGATACACAATCTGTGCAAATATCCCCCTTGCCTAATGCGCATCCCAATTCTCTCTGGGACTAAACTTGCTCAAAGTATCTATCTTTAACACATAGAGGATGCCCATCAGTGAAGCAAATGATCCTGAAATCCCTAAACCTGCCAACAAATGAGTTTCTAAATGCCACAAGTAGGTATGTCAAATGGAAGGCCAGAAAGGGTGTTACTATAGTTCAGAACTACCACATTCCCACCCTGCGGCAAGCCCTAGAGACGATGAATGGCAGGTATACATTCCTCCATTCTGCCTGGTTCAGAAGGCTATTTGGTAGAAGAGATGAGATGACATAAGATTATGAGCATGTGAAATTTTGGCTAGTCTGTCAACACATTCACCAACAGTTTCAACTGTAATTTTCCCTGTCTCATCTTCACGTTGAAGCATCTTCTGATTCTATTCCCACTTTACTAACAAAGCAATGAGATTTAAGAATAATCACAATGAATATACAATGTATTTTACCAAATCAAACCTAAAGCAGCCCAACCCAGTATGGTCTAGTGGCTGGCAATGGCTCTCACAGGACCCAAGCAAAGGGTCTTTCCAGGATCCTGTTAGCTGGAGATACCAGAGACTGACCTAGAACCTTATTCATGCAACGCTCATACACTTAATTCCTCCCCTAGCAAACTACTGGTAACCACACAAACACACTAAGAACTAATTTACAGGCTACATGTAAACAGTGATAGATGCAGTGACTCTTGCATCTTTTTTTCTATGCTTCCATGTAACATGAGACATCTCTCTTCCATGAGTAGCATGCATGCACATGCACCAACACATGTGTGCATATAACATGCAATGCAGACCTAGTATAGTAGGGAGGGAAAATAATCAAGTTGCATTATGACCAATTTGTTTTCTCTTCTTGTTATGACAGCAGCCAACATATATTACAGCTATTTTTCTCTCTCCAAAATTAATAGGTGTTACATTCCTGTAGCAAATATCTTGCAAAAAGAAGTTCTCAGGACTACCTACAAAAATATGCGTACAAAACAATCCAAGGTTTTATATAGTTTTCCCCCTCCCATTTTTGTTATATTTTAAGCCTCAAAATTTTATTTATGTAGGCAAAAGATGGGACAGAAATTACAGATTAAGGAAAAGATTTTAATACAATGATCCCTGTGGCAGAAATTTTTAATGGGACACTTATTCTATGTACAAAACCCATACCCACCCCACCACCCAAGAAACCAAAACAAGGAAAAAAAGCAATTGATGAACAGAATTCAGTTAAAGGGAATCAAAAGGGTAGACCTTGTGGAGGCCTGCCGTCAAAGCCTAGCTGTGTCAGTTGCACAGGAAGACACCCCTTTTCTTCCTATTACAAGCAATCAACATAATGGAACATTATGATTAATATCAGGTAGTGTTAACAGCTTTAAGAAAAAAAATGACTGCATAAAAGCCAAATGTCATAGTGCATAAATTTAGCACCAAATCATTTGCAATTTATGTAAATTGAAGAATTCTTTACCTGTTGCTTTCTTTCTGTTCCTCTAATCATCTCATTTTTCACAAGACAAATTTGAGTTTTAAAAAATACTGTTGATAAAATCAACTTTAACATTAGTAATGTCTGTGAGTATAAAAAGCAAAGTTTACCAGGCAAGCAAACAGGCAAACATGGTTACTTAAATTTAGTACTTTGAGGAAGTTCTTAACTTTGCCCTAAAATTTACAAAGCCTTTTTCTTCCCAAAAAAGTTAAGACTTTCCTAAGTGCCATCCGAATTCTGAAGGAACTAATCAGCATGGCTGTTTTCTATCTCAACACAAGTTATGGCAAATTTTGTGTGTTCAATGAATGTGGCCATGCACAAGTTTCTCCAACTATATGACAACCACTTTCACATGTTTGGCAACTCATATTTAAACCTTTAAAGTTTCTGAAGCAAAAACATAATTGCAGTAGGCTGAAGAATGTCTACTTTAGCCAGACTATCCTGATGGTATGGTTTGATTAACTGTACTGCAAGCAACTACAGATTGTATTCAACTGAAGTGTCTGGGGTGCCTAGCCTGCTTTAAACTGCGCAGGACAATACCAGTCTTTCAAAAAAATATTGAGGGATGTATTTTGCCCTCAGTTAAGTGCACATGGCTCTCATTAACAGAAATGAAAGCCAAACACATTATCTAAAGACATGATACGGCTATAAGATTTTATAACACTCAAATCTGTTCATAATTCAACAAGAGTTTTTATACAATTCCCAAGTGACTTATAATTTTTCAAGCCTTTTATAAGAAAAAGTAACTGACAACCTCATGGATCAGACTAAAGGATTGAAGAAGCAATAAAAAAGTTAAACAAATGCTAAATCTAAAAATTGAGATACCTTCCTCAAAGCCTAAGTGGAAGAAAGGTCAAGATCAATTGGATATCCTATACTTACTTTGGTGTTCATATTCTGAGAGAATTCCAAAATAGTATCAACTCTTGTCCATGCATCAGGGTGCTCCTTTAAGTGAGTCAAGACCTCCTGCGCCATCCTTTGCTAGAAAAGCGGACACAATGAGTTAACAGCTTTCAAAACAGCTTATCGCACATGGTTTTACAGCATTACTTCCCAAATTTTGGATAGCTGAGGCAAACTTTTTTCGGCTTTAAAAATTAGATGCACACTTCTCAGCAGTGGCACCCACCCTGTGAACACCCCCCCATCAGATGTCAAGGAGATAAAAAAACTACAGTGGTACCTCAGGATGCGAATGGGATCCGTTCCGGAGCCCCGTTCGCATCCCGAAGCAAACGTAACTAGCGACAGCGCTTCTGCGCATGATGTCATTTTGAGCATCTGCGCATGCAGCAAAACCCAGAATTAACGCGCTCTGTTACTTCCGGGTTGCCGCGGAGCGCAACTCGAACGCGCTCAACACGAAGCATATTCAACCCGAGGTATGACTGTACACAACTTTTAGAAGACATCTGAAGACACCCCTGTATAGGAAAGTTTATGTTTAATATCTCGTATTTTTATATTTTGTTGGAAGCCGCCCAGAGTGGCTGAGGGAACCCAGTGAGATGGGAGGGGTAATAAAATAATAATAATAATAATTCATTGCAGTACCAGAAATCACTTCACTACCCACATTTCTCTGCAGGCCATTAACCAGGCTGTGCTTCTTAAATGAAAAGAGATATGCCCAAAGCAGCAACTCAAGCAAACATCACCAGCAGCCTTCCCTGAACACAGGTACTGTTACAGGTTTTTTTGCATCAGAATTGTCTAGATAATCCAGTCATATCTGAGACAGATATTTAAAGCAAATGCCCTGTCCCCAACAGAGATTGACCAGGAGGTGGCAAGGCCAGAGCAGTGTATCTTATAGGGCACACAGTAGGCAGCCTGCTCTGCAGATGGTACTTTGAGAGAACAAGAGGCTTCAATGATTACATTTCTTTCACGTGGGACAATCACTGTGCTCTCACAGTACACTAGCACACCCTGGCACAGTGCTTGGGAATTACTGGTTAAGTAATTAAATGCACTTTTCATGGTGGGGAAATTTTAGGCAATTGTGTGTCTTTATCGAAAATTCTCTAGCTAGGATAGAATATTGATCTACAGTAAGGAATCTGCCAATACTACTAAATATGCTTTTGAAAGTCCAAGGTATAATCTTTATTTCTACTCATTTCAAAACAGCTTTTAAGATACAAAAAGAAAAAACGTTTCATAGTTGTTTCTCAACCACTGATAGCAAATAAAAACTAACATTGATGGTACATTTTTATTTAACAGAGAACAAGCACACAAAAATTTACTCCAAACTAATGTAGGACTAAGGTCATCTGAATTTCAAGACATAAACTTTATAACACCTATGACAGGTAGAAAAGGCAAACAGTGGTACTTCTTGACAGTTGGAACCATATCTGCTCTCCTTCCCAACCACACTGTTGGGGGGGGGGGTTCCCTAACCCCCAGAGCAGATTTGGGAGATATATGGGGCAGACAGGAGAGAAGAGGTTGGGGAAAACCCAGTTCTCCTAATAGGAGTCCTTGAGATGGCTTCCACTAGTACCCTGGATGAACTGAATTGGGACCACAAACTTTTCCAACTGTATACGAATCACTACACTTTTGTTCAGAGATCCACTAGAAAGTAAGAAACACCCTAAAATTAGACTGGAACACAGACACTCAATTCTAGAAATCTGATCACTACTTTCCAAGGCATGATGCAACTATGCAAGACACCCTACAGCAAGCTGCTGTCAAAGATGCAAGGCATGGAACTTGAGAGTGTGTGTGTATTTGGGGTGGGGTGAAGGGGTATTGCAAACCACCAACTTGAATATCAACTTCAGAATCAGCTGCCAAGAACCATCTTAAGAGAAAAAGGTTCCTGGTGCTCTGAATCCCAATCTATTGTATACCTTTCAGTTGCCTGGTAGAACTACTCAGGGTCTGAAGTTCTAGTGTTTAATTCATACCTTCCCACTCACCATGGTGAATGCCTCAACTAGAGAGGAAAGCAAATACTGATTCAGAGAAATGCTTCTATAGTGCACATCTTCCCCAAACAAAAGACTGTGGAGCCTTCAAGCTTTAAGTGCTTGCCAATTTAAAACAGAACCCCTTTTATGTTCTTCTGCAATTCTGCTTCACTGATGCCACTAAATATGCTGCAACTCTGCCACAAGTCCAGGAGGTGAATTTGTATCTGGCCAAATCATTCTGACCTGCAAGTGTGCCATACTACATAAAAACTAGTCCAGCTGGACTATTCAGCTCAGTCCAACAACTTAGGATGCAAACATGAGTAGTGGAGAAAAAGCAATGGATTAGACCAGGTACCCCCAAACTCAGCCTTCCAGATGTTTTGGGACTACAATTCCCATCATCCCTGACCACTGGTTCTGTTAGTTAGGGATAATGGGAGTTGTTGTCCCAAAAACAGCTAACGGGCCAAGTTTGGGGATGCCTGGATTAGACCATCCTTCAGATATTGTTGGACTACAACTCCCATCATCCTGGACCATTGGCTATGCTGACTAGGAATTATGGGAATTGAAGTCCAACATCTGGGAAGGCCACTGTCCAGAGATATGGAGGGATGAGGAACAACATGAAGGTAATAAGGGTACCTCAAGCAGAGACCAGTGTGTTTATGGCTGCAGATTGGGGTATATACAGAAGGTCTGACAAGTTTCTGTCTAGGCAGCAGAATGGGATGCTCACTGCCCTATCAGAGGACTTTGACTGTCTGCCCAGTCTGATTTCAGTGGCTCTTTTTAAGTTTGATGTCAAAATATGCTTCTAAGCACTTTAGAAGTATAAAAGCAGATTACACAGAATTTGGAAGAGATCACATAATAAACATTTAAACTACTTCAGAGACACAGACATACTATAGGCAAAGGAGACAGCAATTTGCCTTCCACTTAAAAGTCCTATGAATAAATGGGACATAAAACTGGACCAGACCACTTATCTCTAAAAAATTAAAAGATACAAACAATAGTAAATTCAGTCACATTCCATCTTTCTGTTACTGGCATGAAAAACAAGACAAGAAGCCACCAAGGTATTTTTCAACGTTAACTGTAGCATTCCTGCTGGCTTATTCTCTTCAGATGCAGCTTGACTGCTAGTCAAGTTTTACTAGCATATGAGAAGTCTTCAAGAGAACCAGCTATTTTTTCCTCTACAGATATGCTTTAGACATAATAAACTGCAGGTTTCTAGTTCTCAAACATATACTGTACCTGGGCTCCTTCTCCATGATACAGGCAGTTCACCACATTATCCAACAGATTTATATCCAATTTCTGGTTGAAATCCAGCAGCTGCCGTGCTGCATGGTCTGCTAACATTGTCATAATTGCTGGCATAGATTACTGCAAATTTAAAGAAAGAAATCAAGTTACAGAATTTACTTATTTTTAATATCATAGAAATTCAAAGTTCTTCCCAACTGCCTTTAAGACCACTTCAGCTCCCATCTTTTACTACTGGTAACATATTCAAATGTTGAACTTTTTCTTCAGTGTAAGCCAACCATAATTGTCATACTAAATTTTGTAACACTACACATGAATAAACTTATGCCTGCTTAACTTCAAAATAAAATAATGCTAGTGCATAAACCAGGAGTTAATGAGTCACAATATGTGTTCATTACACCAAATGCTGAAGTATTTTAAAATGTGGAAGAGTGGCATCTGATTCCGGTTCTCCCTGAGCCACAATAAATTAATAATGTAAAGTGTAAGAGAAATGGTCAAAAGAAGCAATAAATGCTAAAGCATTGACAGATTTTTAAAGTGGGGGGGGGGGGGAGGCAGAGGGGAATGCTAACTTACTGACCCAAGAAGATCATTAACACATGAAATTATTTATGTTGAACAACTAAGTCTACCAGAACATATCACTGAGTGAACAGCAGTTAAAGGCAACAGGATTTGCTATTACCCCATAACAGTCTTCTCAACCTACCGTCCAGAGAAGTAGACAGCAGGCATGCATAAAATTTGATCAAAGCTGAAAAAGTGGTGCTAATCCTGCTATACAGTAACATTAATATGGTGTCCCACTCAGAAACCTTAACATCACACTCTGGAAACTTTACCAAAAACACAGTGCACCCCTAAACATATCTATTCAGAAGTCAGCCGCATCAAGGTTTACTCCCACATGACTGTAATAAGGACAGCCTAAATGTCCTAAAGGATTAAAGTCTTACAGAAATACATATACAAGTTTTGACAGTGGGACTTACAGCACAAGATCAGCATTAACCAGTTGAGCAGAATAAAATCATAGCTAAATAGTTAATGGACAACAACTGTTGCTGAAGACAGCCTGGTGAACTGGAATAAATGGCAAACTAAGGCTACTCATCACACACTTAGAAAAAAAGTGCATTGAACTCATTGGGATTACGGTACATTTGCATTGGTTTGGGCTGCATTAACCATCATAACCATAATAGTGACAAGCAAAGAAACAAATTTGTTTTCTGAAGAACACACTATATTTATTAGATATAAGCACAGCAGTTATGGTTTACATCCACAATGCTATTGCTACTTACTACATAACAATTTAAGTGTTCAATTTCTCACAATATTACTATTTAGAACAAAAACTAAGGCTACCCCCCATATTTGGTAGTACTTTCCTTAAGTTCCCTAGCTCCAAGTATCAAAGTACCACACCTCTTCTATGCTTGGCCACACACCCTTTATTGCTGCATCTACTGTTCCTGACTAGACAGTTACACACAACAGCTCAGAAACAGTTTTCATGCATCTTCCACCTCCAACTAAAACACACAAAACTGCATGTTAGGTCTTATAAGTCTTGCAAAAGCAGAAAGACAAGAGCACTTTGCCACTTGTAGATCAGATAGGTCATTTTAAAGTACAGTAATGGGTGGGAAAGGCTAGAATGCATCAAGTGCACGTATATGAGAAGTTCAATAAATACATTAATGAATCTAGACTGAAAGTCACTGGAATGCAAAGAAGTTTAAGATATAGAATACTAGAAACGTCACATAATTTCTATCCAAATAAGCTATTATATTACATGTGAACCCTATCTAACCATCTGCCCAAGGAATACCATTTGGAACACATGCTGTCAATAAAGAAAGGTTTTCAAAGGGCTAGCTTTTGCTGTATACCTATGCGATTTGTTCCATATCATTAACCTTACCTAGATTGTGAAAATTGGTTCCTCCCTTTGCACTCAATTCCTCCAAGTTCGTTAGCAACTTTACTGCCACTTTTTAAATGCACACTTTTGTTGAGTTTTATCAGAAAAACAACTACCACATTGAGAAAACAAATGGTCAATTACAGAGCTCACAATATATCAATCCTGTTGACGTTCAAAGCAGTATTCATTGAGGTACTTACTGCCACTAACTGATTACAAAACAGCTATCAGACCAGCGTTACCGAAAGTAAGCTCTCCAAAGTTCTAAGTCTGCCCACATCAGAAAGCCCGTACATTTTCAGGAAAGTTAAACCAATCTGCACACAACCAGAAACCTACAGGAGGCTGCAGAATACGAAACTTTGGACTGCAGTCTGCCCCTCCCCCTATAAATGCTTCGCTAACGTTTCCTCGAAACAAGGCATTAACTTCCGATTACAGAAAAACGTGAATTAGAGGAGGCACGCTGAAACCAGTAATAGATCCGTAACGTAAACAGATGCAGCACATGGGGTACATCCGAAGACGGCAGTTACACACCCACCCACTGGAAAGGCCTCGGCTGCCGCCCTTCGCCAAACAGCAGACACACTGCAGCACATGCAACATTCACGCTGCTACTACTACCGACACACAGCTAACGCTTACGATCTGCACTTAAAAGAACAACAACCCCAAGCCGCCCAAAATATCTAACAAGGGTCACTAGCCCCGGGCACGCGAAGCTTTAAAGAGATTTTTGTTGCCTTTCCTCCCCGACAGCCGTAAAGAGCAGCTGGGCCACTGCAGCCCCTCCCTCCTCTATCCTTGCTTTCTATACAGGGCCCCCACGTGATCCAGACGGACGTTTCAATAGTGCTGCACAGTGAGAGAGGCACAAATATATTTCTGGAAACTTCCACTCCCAATAATTCAGATTATGCTCCTTAATTTCTCCACCCGCTCTCCAGCACCCCCCCAATATACTTCCCCCACCGAAAGGAGGAGGCCCTACCTCTAATCTCCCGCCAGGCCGCCTCCCTCCTCCTACCCGCGTTGCGTTTTGCCCACCCAAGCTCCAGTTTCCCAACCCCACACTTGCTGCTTTGCTCCATCCTCCAGGGATGGCTTTGGCTTGCTGGGACCTTTCGGACTCGCCTTCCCCATCCAATTACTTCAAGGCCTTCGTTTCTCGTCCTTCCAACAGCTCCCACGCTTTATTTAGATCAAGGCAGGATCCAAACGAAGGCGAACCCCAAACAGAGGTTTCTCTTTCCAAGGCTCGTGGCCTTGGTTTGCATACACACCCCCTTTCCTCCCCCCCCATTTCCATGAGGCTTCACAGCACACCTCTAAAACGCTTAGCCATGCCCACATCTTACACCCCCTACCCCAAGGAAGAGGCCCCGGACTTTGTTTTCTAAAACACATCCATCCTCCACCCCATCACTGCTTTCTCCTAGGAAAACAATGAGTTCATCAACATAACGTTTAGGCCTTGAGATTAGCACGCAACATCACTTCCAGGGCTTCACACCGTTGCTATTTCCATACTTTCCGCTTGTCCAAATACTGCATCCTAAAATGCATGAAGTTCTCCCCCGCCCCGCCATAAAACTTCACCCCCCTGGGATTGTATCCACTCCCTACTTTCTTCTCCAGTGCTCCCTCCCCACCTTTCCCAATCCAATCTCCCACTGGTGTACCATCATGCACAAGTTTCACAGATGAACTCTCACTTACCTAATTGAGTATCACAGCTACTTCTCGTAGAGAGGGAGCGGAGAGCAACAATAAAAAAATAAAATAAAAAAAATCCAAGCAAAGCCAAGAAGTAGGAGGAGGAGGAGTGGGGTGAAAAGACCTGTCCAGCCTTTCTTCCTTTTCAACTCCCCCCCTGCAAACAACACACACACACTGGAGAAACAAAGCGTCTATTTTTACATGCGCCCCCGAAAAGTCTGCTTCTTCCAAGCCCACCCGCCCTCGGCCCCCAACAACCACAACAACAACAAAAGAAGCCCCACTGGACTTGCTACGAAAAAGAAGGGGGTCGGGGGCAGAATGGGTGAATTACTAGGAAGGGAGGGGGGGAGCCTGGGAAAGAAAACACACCCACCCAACGCACACGCTCAAAAAGTCACTTTCTGCCTCCCAAACTCAGCAAAGTTGTTAACACACCCACATGGAGGATCAGGGCTTTGCCACCCATTCAAACACATGCACACACCTCCAACACCCCCCTTCCTGCTCCCCACCCCACGACAAAAAGAGAGGGGGGGAGAATAATACAAAAGGGGCAATAAGACAAGAGAGTGTTGCTTCGTCTAACAAGAGGGGAAGGGGCAACTCCTGGGCCCTCTCTCTCTCTCTCTCCTCCCCCTTTTTCCTGCCTCTCCCGCCCTTTCCTCAAGATTCAGTTGTATGGGAAGGCTATACTCTCTCACGCTCGCGTATATATACAGAAACACACGGCAAAACTATAAATATATATAGATAGATATATGTACGTATATATATTTCTCTCTCTCTGTTTTTTAAAAAAGCGGTTTCAAGAAGCCTCCAGCGAAGGTGAGGCAGCCACGCTGCTTGGAAGGGAGATGGGCCAACCCCTTCGGTTGGGGCCTACAAGACAAACACAACACCTCGTCCCCCGAAAACGAGGGGAGCTGGCAGGCAGAAGATGGACCAAAAGGAGGTGTTCGCCTCAGCGAACCACCCCGTTATGAGGGTAAAAAAAGAGCCCCACACAGAATTATTATTCTTTTTTTGGGGGAGTGGGGTGTCCTCAAGGAAACTCCAGTGAGCGTGGAGCGAGTCGGCCAAGTCCCCTCACGGAGGTCCGCTCATCCCCCTTGGCTTAGCCCCCTCCCCGGCCCCGAAACCCACCCACCCCCTTCCTCAGCCGCTCCACTCCTGCGCTTAATGAACCCCTCGCCCGCCTTTCACACGCACTCGCGGAAACACGCGCGCGCCCCCTTCTCCTCACGCAGCTCGCTCCTCAGCGCCCCCCCTTCCTTCTCTCTCCACACACACGGCAAAAGGCGGCAAAAGGGGACCAAGCGCGGCGGCGGCTTCTTCTGCCTCTCTTTTTTTTTTACCCCCGCTCCCCCCTTTTTTTCTTTTCTCCCTTCTCCCCCTCTTTCGGTGGCGGCGGCGGCGCTTCTTCTCCTTCCGCTCGTCCCCCTCCTCCGCCTCCTCCTCCTCTAGTGCCACAGACTCGGAACCGGCTCAAACCGGTTCAGACTGGGAGATTCCATCTCGGTTTAGTTTTCAGCCCATGGCGCCTCGGAGCGCGCGGGAGGGGCGGGGCGGGGCGTGTGCGCGGAGCCTCCGCCCCAAACCGCCTCGCCGCCCCATTGGCTCCGAGCGGGTGACGGAAGACGAGTGGGGTGGGCAAGAGAGAGAGAGGAGGGAGAGTGGAAGAAAACCCAACGCCAGGGACACACAGACACACACACACGCACCACATTGCGCGGGACGCGGGCGGAAAAGGCAGCGCGGCGTCTCATTGGCTGGCCGGCACGCCCGTCTTTCTCCTCACTCCTTTCCCCCCCCCACCCAAACCGTACCCCGCCCTCCGCTTACTCATGAAGAGAGCGCGCGGGCTTTTCCGACAGGCCACGCCCCCTTTTTAAAAACTCTCCCGCAGAGGTTGGCTGGGAGGAAACGTGAAGAAAGGCCGTATGGGTGGCGGTGACAGTAGTGGGGGGGGGGCGAGGAAGGAGGGAGAGAGAGAGCCAGAGTGAGCGGGCGCGCGCAGCGTGGGCGGGACAAAGCAGCTCCTTGGGCCGCTTACATGATTGGACGCGGGGGGCTGTCTTTCTTGACATGTCAGCCCTTCCCGCCCACCTCCTCCTGCTCCGTGCCTTCAAATAGCCATTCTCGCGGGCTTAATATGCTTTTAGCTGCAGCAGCAGCAGCCGCCTTTTGATTGGGCGGCCGCTTCAAATGACGTCTCTCGCGCGCGCGCGCGCTTGAGGTAGGCCCTTGTACAGCTCGGCTCGCGGCGCCGCCGCCGCCGCAATTAGATCAATGAGCGCGAGGCGAGGCGGTTGAGGAGAAGGAGAGAGCGAGCTACAGCGCACGCGCACATCGCCTAACGGGCCGGCGGAAGGAAATGGCTGCCTAAACAATAGGGATTTATAAAGGGAGGGGGAACGAGGGGCCGTCCCTGAGGGGAGAACCCTGTGGAGTTGTGAGAGGACGGCGGCTCTTATTTGTTGATTTATTTAGCCTTGGAGGCTCAGGGCTCCTCACGACCTACTCGCGGTCCCGCTCCTTGTCACAGGAAAAGGCGGCGTAATTTTTAGTTCTTATTTCCCCCCCCCTTCCTTCATGTTTCCCTGACCCCTGTGACAGCGAAAGGTCTTCTTCTCCGTGGGACGCCTCTACTTTTGCTGAGTTCATGCCGCTCTCTAGCTTCCCCCGGTTTATATGAATCGTCACTTGCCCGTTTTCGTAACTATGTTTTTACTGGTTTTTACTCCGCTGTCGCTTTTCCTGTGTTGTTTCCAAGGGGCCTTTAGGGTGAAGGGTAAGAACTCGATCGTTTAGCTTTTGTTCTTGCTTTTATTATGTATTTTGTGAATTTTTTTTATCTTGTATTTTTAGGTTGTGAGCTGCCTTGAAATATATGGTTGGGGCGGACGGTATACTGTACATTTTTAATAATAATAATAATAATAATTGTTCAGCCCCCCCACTTTGGAACTCTGCCTGTTGAGATCCAGTGGGCACCTTCGCTGTACATTTTTTTTGGCACCTGCTATAAACATACTTGTTTAGATACGCCTACCCGCATGCTTAGAAAGTCGAGGTAATTTTAATCTATTTTAGTATTTTAACTTATGTATTCTTTAAAGTGTGGTTGTAATTTTTTCTTTATCGTTGTGTAAACCGCTTTGAAGATTTTTGTAGCAATCAAGAGGTGTAAAAATTTTATGAAATGATTAAATAAACAGATAAAATGAAGCTTATGTTCTGATTTAATTTCCAGCGCCATCCTTACCATAACTTAGTGGTTAAGAAACTGAGCTATGAATTAAGAGTTTCCAAACTTTTCTGAGCCTTGAATTCACCCTCAGCCTTGCCCCCTCCCCCAACTGCAATATTATTGATTTGACCTTTCTGCATTGGTGTGAACATTACAGCTAGGTAAGGCATTTGAACTTCTTTGAACACTTGGCAATATACCCTTGGCAATATACTGTACTTATGTATGTTAACCAGTGCTTTTCTAGCGGGGCGCAGGGGGACACATTCCCCTAAACATTTTGTGAGTCTAAGTTTGGCCTCATTGAGGGGCAATATTTCAATATGAGTAGGAAAACGAGAGTACCCCTAGACATATTTTTTTAGAAAAAAAGCACTTATGTTAACCCTGCTATACAGATGTGTGTCATTATTTCTTTGTTTCTGTGGTGGTTTATAGATAGTGGCAGGGTGGGGGGCATTCGGCATCTATTAGGCGGAATGGGAAAATAGAATGTAGGACTACATAGAGCAGACGTTCTTAACCGTTTTTTGGGTCCAGGTCTCATTTGATGAAAGCTATGGACTCTTCCAGAAAAATGCACAGAAACACATACACACAACATTTTGCATACAGTTTATTGGGGGGGGCGGATTCTTTTGTATACAGTTTATTGGGTCCTCAGAAAAATAGAATTGTGGAGTTGGAAGTGACCATGAGGGTCATCTAGTGCAAACCTTTGCAATTCAGGAATATTTTAACCAAAAAACTCATGGCCCTGAGCTATCCCTTGGTCTGTGCAACTATTTTTTAAAACTGGCTAATAGTTAACACTTAGCACTTGGCTAGAAATGCTGTTAAATAAGAGGAACTTCTCTCACTTGTTTCTGTTGCTTTTTTCTTTTGCAGTGAATGGCCAGAGACTATGCTGTGTGCCCTAGGAGTGTAAGCTAGGAACATAGGAAGTTGCCGTATAGTGAGTTGGGCCATTGATCGATCTAGCTCAGCATTGTCTACTACAGTGGTACCTCGGGTTAAGTACTTAATTCGTTCCAGAGGTATGTTCTTAACCTGAAACTGTTCTTAACCTGAAACACCACTTTAGCTAATGGGGCCTCCCGCTGCCGCCGCGCCGCCGGAGCACGATTTCTCTTCTCATCCTGAAGCAAAGTTCTTAACCCGAGGTGCTATTTCTGGGTTAGCGGAGTCTGTAACCTGAAGCATATGTAACCCAAGGTACCACTGTACACTGATTGGCAAACACTCTCCAGGGATTCAGGCGGGGCATTCCCAATCCTGGCAAGGGTTGGTCCTTCTACGGAAAAAGCAGAAGCCTCTGAGTTAGAACTTTCCCCAGCTTTTGAAGTGTCACTGGAGAGTTCTGTTTCTAGAACCAAATGGGAACTGACCTTAACTAACTCTTGAGTTGTTCGGGCAGTTGGCTGCCTGCCTTAATTTGCTACCAAAACTCCCATCCTGTAAGTCTGTGTGTGCTGTAGGAGAGGGGCAGGCTTTTTTTATTGTTTGTATGTACTGTAATCAGTGGAGTCCTGCCACTGATGTTTGGTGCTATCCATTGCTATACATGCCTCATCGCCATGGTCATACTGGATAGATGCATCACTGAAGTCTATTATTTTGCTATACTCCAAGGCCATTTATTCCTATCCTTACTTCAAGGAGTAGGGGGGGGATGTGGAGTACTTACTGTGTTTGCCTTTGAAAACTCCCTATATATGAGCTAGGGTTTTAAATTCTCATAACTCTGGGATCAGTGCTAGCCACAACACACTGCCGTATTAGTAACCGAGTATTGCTGGACCATAAAGAAGGCTGTTCGCCGAAGAATTGATGCTTTTGAATTATGGTGCCCTGAGTGCTCACTGGAAGGACAGATCCTGAAGCTGAGGCTCCAATACTTTGGCCACCTCATGAGAAGAGAAGACACCCTGGAAAAGACCCTGATGTTGGGAAAGATGGAGGGCACAAGGAGAAGGGGACGACAGAGGACGAGATGGTTGGACAGTGTTCTCGAAGCTACCAGCATGAGTTTGACCAAACTGCGGGAGGCAGTGGAAGACAGGAGTGCCTGGCGTGCTCTGGTCCATGGAGTCACGAAGAGTCGGGCACGACTAAATGACTAAACAACAACAACATTGCACCTCAGGAGTGGCGGCTGTGTATGTGGTGTTCAGGAAAATAGCTGAAAATGGGAAATACAGTGTGGACAGGATCTTAGCAGAAAAGGATGGGTAGTTGTGGTGTGAGGGCCTATGTTCATACAGCACTGTATGAAGATCACAAATTACTTTTTTAGCTTACATAATGACTAGAAATAAACTTTGCTTTTAATCGCAAGCAAGTATGGCTGGTTGTGTCCTTTCGGTTAATCCAGAATAATTATTTTTCTTTGATTATAGTTGTTCGTTCACAGTTGTAGATATAAGCGGAAATTAACACTACCACAAACAGACATTGCAACAGAAAAAAAATACAGCGTTGGCAATATTTTATTTCTGACTGATGGTGTGGATAAGGTAGGTAGGTGACTGAAAGTGTTGAGGAGCAAGAAGGTGTGTTAAGCTGTCTTAAGTATGTGCTGTACAATATCCTTAGTGCTGTCTAATAAGTGTATGACTGTAGCAGTTGTCTGGCTTTTAACCAGCTAATACGTTATATATTGCAAAATTTCTGTTAAGGTGGTTTGAATAGAAGAATCTTAAGTGTGTAAGAATTTGTAAGAAAAAAAATGGACCTAAGTTCAAGTCCCATTAGTGTGTGGAGGATTAGGTCTGTGCATGTTAGTGTCAGCTAAGCTTGGTCAGTGTGGTAAAGCTCACCAGGAAAGGCACCTTTATTCCCTGACTGTAGTGGAAAGCAAATCCATAAACACATTGGTATAGAATAATAGAATTGTGGAGTTGGAAGGGATCCTGGCAGGTCATCTAGTCCAGCCTCCTGCAATGCAGAAATCTCACTAGAGATCATACATAATAGAGGCATACCCAGGGGCTGGTAAAATTGGCACCTGCTGGAGGCACAGACCCAGGATGGGTGCAAAAATGAGGCATTGGAGTTCTCTCATGACACCCCACCCCACCTTGGCTCAGCACTCAAGGATCTGTTTGCCCTCAGAAGGAATCTGCCAGGATCTGCGACTGGAAAAGCTACATCTGCTGCTGCTGCTGCAGAAGGGTATGAAAAGTGGTCCTCAACAGGTTTCACCTATTAATCACACCTTTCAGGTCTAAGTTAGGTGGAGAGTAGCAATACTGTACTCTTAATGGAGGAATGCGCTTGCTTGAAAACCTACTGCTGTGAGTTAGGTATTGG